CGGATCTGACGCTGGGTGTTACTGCAGGCTTCGATAATCCAAAACCTACTGCGCATCGGACACGAGTAGGAGGAGTACTGTACTGTGCTTGTAAAACCGGTCGCTTTGCAACGGAACAACATGATGCGCGGCAGCATGGCGCCCCATCGCCTGCCGGTAGCCCCAGGCTTGTGGCTCCGGTACCGAGGCCAGTGTGCAAAGCCAAGCCAGGCAAGGCACACCACAAAGCTGCAAGCAAAGCCTGCAACTGCAAACCCACCACACGGCAAGGCAGCCGCCGCCGCCCCCACCCCCACCGCACAGTACAAAACCGTTTACTCCTGTGCTGTCTACTGTGCAGCGCGTGCCCCTTCTTCTTTTTTTTATTAACTCTGTTTCACCCAGCCAGTTAAGCCGCTGACTATTTTGGCCGGATAGCACGTACGCAGCGGTCGCCACGCCAGGTTGGGTTTCCACCCCCCAACCGCAGCGCCGCGCCGCGCGGTGTCCGCTTGTCGCGTACTAGGCCGGCCGCCCCGGCGAAACGCTTGAGGCTTGGGAGATCGCGACGGGGGGCGCGGCGCGGCGCGGCACGGCATGGGCTGCCTGGAGACGTGTGTTCTAGTATCGCTTTTGCGATGCTTTGGAACCGACACGTTTCCGCGCGCCTGCGCAGGCGACGTGGTCAGCACAGAGCCTCCCGAAATTACTTTGGTTTTTTACGCCGACACGGTATAAACTTCCTAGTCAGATGACACGACTATCTCTAGCTAGCTAGGCCGCTGGTAGTACGTACATCCCTCAATTGAGAGCACTCGATGGGCTCTGGGACTCACGGAAAATAACAGGTAGAAAGCCACAGGGTCTAATTACGCTTGCGCTGACTCTGAAAATTTGGTCGGCGGCGACACGGCAAAGATGACCACATCAGTATTACTAGCCCGGGCGGGCCGTCGTTGTCGTGTGTGCCAACCTGTGTGCAAGTGCAACATCTTTCCGATCCCCATTCGTTGCTCTTGGGATTCAATTCAATTCAATTCGGCGGCATTCTCGTCTACGGATCGACCAGCCAACTAGCTAGCTAGCGAACCAAGTCAACTGCAGAGCTGAAATCGTGCATAAGAATACGCTACACATGCATGTACCATCACCCCATCCGCTATGAATACGGCACACCGGGTGATCAATTCTGAAAACGTACGAGCAATCACACCCGAGAATTCCATCGGTACATGCCTTTGATGTGTAGTAGTATAATCTTTTTCCCCTATTGAGCACGGCATCTACGGGCTCTTTACAGCAGGCATCCTATGATCCTTTTCCCCTTAATTCACGCGACAATTGCGTTGGATAGATCGGTAGCAGAGCAGAGCAGGCAGTACGATTTTAGCCTTTAAAGTCACACAGATCGATCGATCAATCTTGCTCATTTGCTCGCATCGCATCGCAGCACAACACATGCATGCATCGATCGATCGATCGGGCGTCATTTTGTGCGTGTGGTTACCGACGATCGCCGTGATGAACAGCGCGTGTACGAAGGAATTTCTTTTCACTTTGCACCCCCCCTCCGTTGCTCCGCGGTGTCGGCTATGAGCTCATGAGCTAGGTAGCCCATGACTTTCTTTTATGTGCCCTGCAAGTTGACATGTGAGGACAATCATTGTGTGCAATCACTTTAGAAAGTTCCTGCCAAATCTTGCGAGTCCTATGTACAGCGGTAGATCCATCATCCATCCATCACATCATCTACTAGCTTCGTTTATTTCCTATGATAAAGTTGGGTTTTTACCGGGTTCAATGAACAGTTTCTGTATGTATGGATCACTCGTCACTGAAAGAAAGAGAAGTTAGCAATCAACCATTGGATGTTTGGAGCGGGGATGGGGAAGTATCCGGGGCACTTTCTGTGTGGCATTTTGTTTTTATATAAAACAGTCAAATTGGATGCTAATAACATTCGGGTGACCTTTGTACGAAGGCATGACAATAAATTAGCAACAGGTAAAACTTGTGATGTTGAGATGCCAAACTGCACACTGTTTGCATATATGCATACATATAATTACATACACCGAGGCGCCAACTTTAACAGTGGAATCAACCGTTACATCCAAGCTGATTCCCACTGATTTCTCCATCTTGTTTTGTGCATGTTGATGTTTCCATGTTAGCTTTTCACCCAATTCTTTTCAAACGGTAGTGATCGCTCGACCGAACGCTATCAGGTGCAGTCCAACCCAATCCTCTCGTATCTAAAATCTGAAGCAAACCAGTGGTTAATTTGGAACGATATGTTTCTCTGCTGCATGCTGACCCTGCTGTTGAGTGATTGATTTGATGACACCTCTTCCTATATGTCTGCCCATTCAGTTGGGTGGTCACCGGCTGCAAGAGGACAAAATATCAACATTGAGAAAAATTTTCCTCTTGTGACACTGTCAACAATAGTAGGACAATATAGACTGGTGCTAGTGATAATATGTTACTACCTCGGGGTTGACACATCAAGGAATTATCCACATCAACCAATAAAGTAATTTAAAAGGATAGTGCCACTAAGTGCCAAGAAAATATAAATACTAATGTAAGGAACACGTATTATACATTAAGTCCGGATGCCATCACTGATCATGCCCTGATATACTAATGGCACAACGGATTCCAGAATATAACAGGAACAATATTAGGTTATCCAAAAAAACTTTGGATTGTTTAGGCCTGTAGTGATCATTTTATAATAATCTATGCAATAATTATCATATAATTGTCTGAATACTACTACTGTTTGCCTCCTTTAAAGGGCCATATATATCTTTTGAGGGGGATGCATGACCGGCAAACTCGGACAAACTAGACACTGTTGCATTTAGTGAGATCATACCTAATTTGTAAAACATTTTTTTGTGTGAATTTGAAGAAGTTGCGGGATTGTTGTAGGTATCATATCTTCTTCCTTTATCACAGTGAGACTGAACTTGCATATTCTATATGTCGTACTAAAATTGGACCATTGCTAGCCAAGTGCTAGTGGCAGATGCCCCGGAGAAGAGTATTTAACTCGAATTTAGCTCAGTTTATATATGATTAAGTATAGCCTGCTGGGACGTCGCCAGCTGAATTGTTTAAAGACGCCATGTTTGCTTCATCTCGGGGAACATGAAAAAACAAATCTCTCTACATACTTATAGGCCTCCAAGCTAGCACCACCAATAATGCAAAGCCTAGTTAGCCATTAGTACTCCCTTAGTTTGAATGTTTGTTTCAGTGGAATCGACTAATGATCCACTTGTGCTTTCGTCTAATATAATGATCAGTGCACCTGAATTTACACACAGCTTAGCTAGATAGCCAGACACGTACATACATACGTCGTCCAAAATAAAGCAGGAGACGCATACGTGTACACCTCCGGTTGTTGCCGTCGTCGAGTTGTCCGTTGTCATCTTGGCTTTTGCCCAACCACAAATCATCCATGTAACAATTGGGGTTGTTGGGGTTAGCTAGAGATGGATACGTCTACAAATCTACTCATCATCTCTATCTCCATCAGCTGTGTCTTGCTTAAACAAGACTGATTAGTGCTTTCTGTCATCGTCACTTCTCTTCTGCTCGAGTGCTTAACGCATTGACCCTCTTGTAAGGCGAAAATCTTCAGGTCACTTGGGTTGGTTTAGTTCATGCATGCATCAATTCCTTGGAGTAGCATTTATGATTTGTCATCCGCTGTAAAGTCATTAGGTGGAGAGTCTTTTTGATCTGTTCACGGAAGTTGATCTCTTCTCAACCCAGATTCAGAACAAGCAGCCCTTAGCTGACCGCTTGACCTAGACCAAGTGAAAAGGAACGGCCAAATTAAAAGACCCGAATTTAATTTGCGTGTGCTTTTTTTTCTGTGACTAGGTAAAGGAAATTACACTGTTGGATCATGCCAGGGGACCAAGAGTAGTGTACTGTTCACTAGTACGTGTTAGGTGCATCAAGCTGTAGCCACTCTGAACACATCCATCCAGGACAGTACATCATTAGTGAACAGTAAGTAATTGCAGAGGTTGCCTTCAAAACAAGGGACGTAAAATTTTCCACCGGCACTGCACTGCGCATTCTCTGTCTGTGACAACGAATATTTGGAGGATTTTTTGCTCGTTCCATGCGATGCAAGCACTGCTCCGGTCTCCGGCCGTTGCGTTGCGTCACTGTTTGGTTGCGAATTGATTTTGCCAAATGCCAAACAAGTACTCCTTGTTACCATTTACTGGCACCATTCCAGTGGTAACAAGTACTCCTCCTTACATGCGACGATGCAAGTATGCAACCACTGTACTGCAGCATCAAGTTCTCACCGGAGCAGAGCAAGGAAAAGATCCGGAGAAGCGCAGCCGGATGCAATATGAGGCGGGTTAATTACACGAGCAAATCGGAGTGATGCATCAGCGACGCTCCCGTTTGCAGTAGGCCTAGGGGATCTATAGACTAGGGACCTAGAGCTGGGAGATTTATTGCTCATGCAGGCACTGCACAGTTCACCTATTGGGGGACAACCAAAACGAAGAAAAAGAAAGAAAGAGAGGTGGTAGAAAATTATACTACTAGTAGTACTCCACTAACATGAAAGAGAGAAAAAAATATAGGAAAAATGAGAAAAAAAAAGGGCAGCTGGGCAGGCACGCATGAGCAGCAGCACTGGACCAGTGGCAGAATCGTCTGGAGTGAGAGGGACTGTGGAATAATTAATCAGAAGTGACAAGCAAAATTTTGCAGCATCAAGAACTAAAAAGATGCAATTTTGATGCAGCAATTAGGCAAAAGGAGGTGGTAATTGTGCAGGCAGTACATAATTGTTCTTCTTCTTTACTACTTGTTCTTTATTCCCCACTACCAGTACTAGTATTTTTTCTGGTATAATTTTTTTAGCAGAAGTGAATTACCAGAATTAAAATTCTAATTATCTTGCCGCTTCCAAATCTGGCGATGGTGATGGTGACGAGGACCCCCCCCCCCCAAGGCCGTCTCTCCACGACGTCCTAATAAATCGCTCCCATCTCCATTTTTTTCTTCCAGCTTTCTCTTTGATTTCTAGCCAACTCGACGAATCCAATCCCTTCTTTAATAATAGAGCTGCTCCCCGTTCGCGCGATGATGCTGCCGCGGCTGTTCTTGCGCGCCGCGACCACCAGCCAAGAACACGCGCGGGGCTCCCGGCGGCAGCATCCCTGAGGGGGCGAAAACCGAAGCCTTTTCTTGGATTCCAGAGCGAGCGTGCGCGCGCGCGAATTCCATCTCGCCCAGGTGAGTTTCCCCTTGCCGAGGAAAAAAAGATATCTCCTTCTTCTTTATTGTTTATCCGCAACGTTGCCAAATCCTTCCGAGATATGATCTGGTGAATTCAGCGCTTCCTCTTCTCGGGCCAAAATTTTTATTCCTAATTTTTTTTTTTCGTTTTGGCAACGTTTCTTGGCTCTGCTGTTGTCTCCCCGCTTTAATAATGGGCGCGCGGTTGGTCGGATCGCCATGGCCAGATGCATTGCTCGGGGCGATTGGGCCATGCGAGGTGCGGGATTTGAGAGATTCGGGGGGGAATTGAATAGTTGGGGATTTGGTGCTAATTTCCTCTTGTTTAATCAATCGATCAATCAATCCCTGCTAGTTTAGTTTCCCTCTCCCGTGCTCCCCCCGCGTCCGCGCTTTCTTTCTCGTCGTCACCCAGTTGCCGCTGATGCAATTCATCGCCCTCCTCTTGTTAGCTTACTGTTATATATATAAGCAAACGACTCCCCGGACATGGCTCTGAGATGTGTTTCCCTCTTGCCGCTTCTCTCTTCTTCTTCTTCTTGCAGCGGCCGTGCTCGCCACAACGATCCATGGAGGGGTGCCAATTGGTAGCGAGGTGTAGTAGTAGTAGTAGCAGTAGCAGGATGGAGGTGGAGGAAGAGGCGTTCTTTGACACGCGGGAGGAGCTGCTGCCGCCGTCGCCGGCGGCGGCATTGCCGTGGTCGGGTGGGCTCGACAGCGTGCGGCAGCGGAGGGAGCGGTTCATGCGAAGCATGGGCCTGGAGCGCAGCCCGAGCCTCCGCCAGGCGGATTTCGCGGACGTCGTGGGCGATGTGGAGGAGGAGGGTGAGGTGGCGGCGGAGGCGGAGATCGGGAGGTGGTCGTCGCAGTCGGACGAGAACGAGTGCTCCATGTCGAGCTGGTCGACGGAGGAGACGACGAGCTACGACGACGGCGCGTCGGATGACAACTCCGTGAGTGGATCCGGCAAGGCGAGCAGGAGCTTCAGCTCGCTGTCGTTCATCCAGAGGCTCATGAGCCGCAATGGCAAGCCTTCTGGTGCTCCGAAGACGATCGACAGGAGGAGAAATGGGTGGCTCCGGAGGCTGGGCGTCAGTGCTTGTGTTGTGGATAGTGGAGCAGCAGATGAAGCCAGCACCAGTTCTTCAGATAGTGAGCAAATTGGGGCTGGGAGGTATGAAAGAATCAAGGTTCACTCGTACCGGAAGCGGTCGAAGGAATTGTCCGCCGTGTATCAGGGGCAAGTGATCAAAGCACATGATGGTGCCATCCTGACGATGAAGTTTAGTCCTGATGGGCAGCTTCTTGCAACCGGTGGAGAAGATGGAGTTGTCAGGGTTTGGGCTGTCATGCAGTCCGAGGACTGCAAAATTCCACTGGATGATCCTTCTTGCGTCTACCTAAAAGCGCGGCGCAAGTATGGGCTTGCTCCTGTGAATGCCGAGAGCGAGAAGAAATCGAAGATCAATGGCCTGAAAAAATCCGATTCTGCTTGTATTGTGGTTCCAACGATGGTTTTCCAGATCTCAGAGGAACCAGTGCATGAGTTCCGTGGGCACTCTGGTGATGTGCTTGATTTGTCATGGTCGAGCGATAAGGTTAGTTAATGAAATGCTCTTTTGTCCATGTATTGGAATTGTTCCTTTGCGTTTTTCCTTATGCTGTACTTTTTGGTTCTGATAATTAATATTTGCTACTTTACAGCATCTACTGTCAGCATCAACAGACAAAACTGTTCGCATGTGGGAAATTGGATATGCAAACTGCATCAGAGTTTATCCACATAGCAACTTTGGTAGGTTTATGTGATCCTACTTAGCTGCCTCAAAGGTCTTCACTTTCATCTATAAATTTGAGCTAACTTTTTTTTCTTGTTTTACAGTGACTTGTGTCCAATTTAATCTAGCTGACGAGAATCTCTTCATTAGTGGATCAATTGATGGCAAAATTCGTGTTTGGGACATTACTAGAAGCAGTGTTGTGGACTGGGTGGATATTAGAGACATAGTAACAGCAGTTTGTTACCGGCCTGGTGGAAAGGTATGATTATCAGCGGCCATCTTAGCTGTTTTGACTAACTTGCTGCGTCAGTAATTTGTGATACTGATGTCCTTTCTTTTCGAATATCTTGCAGGGAGTGGTGGTTGGTACTATTACTGGAAATTGTCGCTTCTATGAAATATCTGGTTAGTACTAAACACTAAATTGCCAAATGATTATTAGCTTTAAAATATATTTTTGATAGGCAGAATACGTGTTTATACTTATGCTTATTTCATCTGTTTTGCATTGGATCAGACAATCTGCTGAAGCTAGAAACACAAATTGCTCTCAATGGAAAGAAGAAATCATCTCTCAAAAGAATCACAGGCTTTCAGGTAACATCTTGGGCAAGGAAGAGGCATGCTGTAATCAATAAATTCATCAGTCCTTTTTCACTAGAAATCCTTCCGACTCTTTTTTTCCTCATTCCCATTGCAGTTTTGCCCAAGCAACCCAAGTAAACTAATGGTGACATCTGCCGATTCGAAGATCAGAATACTTGATGGGACCAATGTGATTCAGAATTATAGTGGTACACCCAAATACTCGTTTATTATTTCTGCTCTATCTAGTCATTTCCTGGGTATTCGGATGGATAATTTTTTTTTTTTTTGCTAATCTATCAGGACTCCGAAGTGGTTCTTGCCAGTTGTCAGCAACATTCACTCCAGAAGGGCAGCACATAATTTCTGCCAGTGAAGACTCCAACGTTTATGTTTGGAGCCATGAAAACCAGTATGAGTGTGCATGCAAACAAGCAAAAACCACACAGACATCTGAGCATTTCCGGTCCAACAATGCAGCCATTGCAATACCATGGAATGGCACAAAACCAAGAAGCCCAGTTCCGTTGTCGTCCCAAATTTTACCACCACAAGGAGATACTTTCTGGTCAATGAGCAAGGCTATCAAATACAATTCAAGCCTCTGTGGAAAGGATTCTTCCATTAAAAAAATTGTGTCAACGCCTGCTGCTCCTGGTATTTTCAATCTGAACCAGGAGTTCTTCATTGAGTCCTCTTGCAAAAGTTCAGCAACTTGGCCAGAGGAAATGCTACCATCTACCACAGCCAGTGTAAATTTGGACGAGTCACAGTTCAAGCTCTTAAGGAACTGTTTCCAAGGAACATCAAACTCCTGGGGTCAAGTGATAGTTACTGCAGGATGGGATGGCAGGATTAGGTATTTCCAGAATTTCGGTTTACCAGTGCATCAGTGAATAGTTTGAGCATTGGATGGAAGTAAACGCAGCATTGGCACCTCACATGGCCTCAAGAAAAGCACCCGTGCACCCAGCTATGCTGGCCCAGCGTGTGGTTACTTGGTACAAGACATCACATGCTTGGTGCTCCTGCTGAATTGTACATGGACCAGCGTTGTACATAATCAAACCAGTGGTCCTTTGAGATCTCTACATCAGTGGTTGTTCGTGGCAGGCCCGGTAGCTTGTACCTTTTGTAGAAATCTTTCAGTGTAGATCAGATTTGTTCTTACTCCCCCCACTCAATTGCTCATTGAAATGATAGAAATTTTAGTCTCATCTGAGTGTAAATTATCCTCCCATTTTTCGTTATCTGGGAGGTCGACGGAACTGCAGTTACATATTTTCCATTCAAATACAAAAAAAAAAAATCATTCATTTGTTTAAAACCTGGCATCCAGTTTTTCACATCTTCTGCTTCCTGATCTGGATTTTGTCCAACTTCAGATGTGGGCAATTTGTGCTTCTGTTTGGGGTCACAAGTTGTTTGCTGTGGACCTTGTGGAGCATCTCAAGAGCTATTATTGTTCCTCTAATGGGACCTGAGGTGGTTGATCATTTGATTTATTTCCCATGTTAGCTGTGCATCTCATAAATCTAATGGTCCTGAATCTGTTGAGTCCGGACTTAGCATTCTAGGATGAATGTGCATCAGATTTTTCTCTCTCTCTAGAAGGGTGCTGATCTGTTCCAGAATGCCTAAATTTTGTTGATACATCCTTTCTCAATCTTTCTGATTTGCTTCCAAGTATTATACTTCTGCATTCCATTCTAGGCTTCTCTTTGTCAGGACTTTCTGAATATGAACCTATTTTTCTGTTGAAATTTGGGAGTTTCTGTAGGTGCATTTCTTGATTTGTCAGGAAGGCGAATTCCCGGCTATTTTAGGGCTGGAAAGGGTTCTGGTACATGTGGCCTTGATGCTATTCGTCAGGACTACTTCGGATTCAACTCACTGAAACTTTTTTTTGCTGCACGGCAACTCACTAGAACATTGGAGCAATAGTAAGCATTTGTATACTCGGATGCCTCACTTGGATCGATGATTGCTTCTAGAATTTTGAGTGATTGACCAAGATGGGGAGACCCTGTGTGTCAAAACATTAGGTTACTCAGTATGGATCATGGAAGGTGAAGTCTAATGCCAATTGCAGTTATTTTTCTATTTCCTGTGTTCTGATACTGATTAGATTATGACAGATCCATAGCACTGTTTCGTGCAAGCTCTGTTTGGTAGAGGTTCAGTAGTAGTTCTCATGAGTCATCTGTAAGTTCATTTCACCTGGATTATACTTCAGTTCTACTCGATATCGAGATTTGCAAATGCAGTTTTTACATGTCGTCATATTAGGATTACGTTAAGCAGACTATTTACATTAAGCCTACCATTCTGACCATGTCAAATACTGTACTATCTAGAAATACATCTTCTGTCAGGTTGTCCGGTTTTGTATAGTAAGCATTTCTGTTAGTACTAGTATTTTATAGTGTACTAGTGGCTTTTGACTTCTTGTCATCATTGGATCAGGCCATCGTTATAAAACAAGTGTGTTCAACAGAAGCTTAACTTAGCTTAAAGCTGACTAGTGATAAACAATCAGTCAAATTGCTTAGTAGCTTCATCAGCTTCAAAGTAAGCACGCTGTCTCTCATGCTGTGAGCTGTTTCGTCACTGCTGATTTCTTTCCCCTCTCTCTGCTTGTGTCATTTCTTACCTGACACACTTTCTCAGATCAGCGGCAGTGCTGCGAGTCAGAAACATGTTGGAAAAGCCGAAAAGGCCACGGCTGCAGATTCGGAGGTTAGCAGGTTTCACTCCTACTACAGCACTGTCGAAACAGTAGAAGAGAATTTACAACAGCCATCGAATTATTGAGCCTTACTACTCTGTCCGAACCTGAACATTCTGCCACGCTCGCATTATTGCGCTCGTTCAGGCATAATTGAAGCAATTTGAAATATTGCATTGCACTGAGCAACAGCTCATTTTGCAGCATGGTGATCTGTAAATAGTACTAGTACATCAAACTCTCTTCAGTGATTTTTTAGCAACAAGAAATTCAGTTTACAAATGACAAGAAGCCATTCATTCAAAACCGGCACAAGACAGTGATGTGCAGTGCATAGTGTAGGTCTAAAAAAAACAGACCCTAATGCTAGTATAATGTACTGTGATCTAGCTTCATTATCCCTTTTTAACACAAATCTTCAGTGCAATGTGCTCTGGATCTGAAATGTGATGCTAGCCGCTGCGCACTGTCCATGGAATCCTCAGAGGATGCGTCATATGAGAGCTGTCTTGTGCTGTAGCAGCAGTGGGAGACATGCTGGTACAAGATAGGATAATACACCATCTTGCTCTTTTCGATTTGGCATTGGGTGCATCTTCTGTTCATGCGTGGGAGATGGGATCTTGGAGGTTGCAAAATGCAGACAGCTCACTGAGCAAAATGCAGCTTCATGGATAAATTAAGATGGACCCCAAACACAATGAGCTCCTTCCTTGTAGTGTGTATGCTAGGGAGGAGGAAGAAAAGAAAGCAAAGGTGATATGCAATGTCATTGTTTACTGAAGATCATGTTTTTGCTTGATGAGCTCATTACTTACAGTGCATTGTTTGACTTCAGGTGATGAGTAACTTGTGACAGAATAGGAAACAATGGTGCAATGCATCACTGCAAAATCCTTTACTAAAGTACAGGATCATCACGTTTATAGTCTAGCTTAATATCAGGAGCACAATGCTAGGAAACAATAGCATATTGGGAAATCGGAATCAAGATGTGGAGCTTGGACCAAGCAAGAACAAGCATCTTGACCGTATAACATGTTCAATAACTCTTCACGTGCTATTACACTGCTTCTAGATGAATTCCAGGTCAGATTAGTCGCTGAGTTAGCAAGCATTTCTGCTGTCGCGAACAAGTTTCTCCATTAGTCCTATGATTGGAAGTTCAGAATTAACTGACCAAGGGGCGGTGGTCAACAACAGAGTCTAGCTAGCTTGAAGCCAGCATCCTTGACCAACAACACAACAGAAGCAGTAACAAGTGTACGTTTTTTCAGGTAATGTTGGGATTCAAAGAACAGCATGAGACTGACCAACTACTGTAGCTGATTCGTTTGCAGTCGCACACACTCCTGCTGCCGCCGTCTTTTCGCTGCTCCAGTAAAATCCAGCATCTTGTCAGAACGGCAAATCTTAGACAGGCAGGCATGGCTCTGTCAAAAATTCAGAAAAAAATGACCAGGCGGTAGATTTGCAGACAGGAGAACAGGATTGGACAATTACCAATTGGGCATGAATGAGCACACGGAGGAGGCATGGTGGTGGTGCCTGCGTGGGTGCAAGGCTGTCCCTTCTGACCACGGCCTAATGATTGTGTTAGCGCCTTGAATAATTGGAGCGGTTTTGCGTTCAAGTTGCAGCAACAACGGCCGATCGTAGGAGGATCACGAGCTGTTCATTATGACCCTCATCACTCTTGTTGCTAATTGGTCTTTACGCACTCCATGATCTCATTATCTTGCATATACTAAGTAGCAGACGCTCGATTCCATGTGCAATTAGTAGCCCGTGCAGTTAGCAGTTATAATAATCGTTATCGTTATCGTTGCAGCTGCCAATGCATTAGCCAAATGCAGCTGCGCTCGCTTTGCTTGATTGCTCCATCTTAATCCCTGCACCCTCGTGCTTTTCCTTTTGTTGCTTGCAGTACATCTTGGCGTCGACAGCGGAGACCACGACCCTAGCCCAAGATCCCTCCTAGATTCATTGCAAGCTTCCAACTTTGGTTAGTTAGTTTAATCCCTCCACAAGATCCCCTCCGTCAAACACGATCTCTACTAAATACTAAAATTATACTACACCCGGTTTAATTAGATCCTCTGGAAGATATGGTCTCCTATGCTCTGCATTCCGTATCATAATATTACTGCATATGCTTATTTTTCCCTTGAGAGAGAGATAATGACGACGAGATGATGATGATGATGATGATGATGAGGTTGAGGAAAGGAGAAGGGCGTATGAGCGAGTTGGTCATATGCTGTAGCAGCGACGGGGGACAGCCGCGGGGTACTAGATTAGATCCAGTTATTAGGCGTTGGCATTGGATCTGCGGCCGGGGCTCGCCGATGGTCCTCCGATCTGGGCTCCCCCCGCGTTTCTGCGCTGCGTCGCCCATGCATGGGCATGGGACCATGCGCGCGCGCGCGCGGGCGGTGCCGGCCGCGCGACGCGACGCTGCATGCGGGACAGCTCGGCTCGGCGGCTGGCTCCGCGCGCTCGGTGTGGGGACGATGCATGCGGGGGTGGATCGCGTATTCGCGTACGATGAAAGTAGAGGAGGATGAGCGCGCGCGTCGCGGCCTCGCGGGCATATGGGGGCCATGCATGGTTGACACTGTGACACACAGTATTACAGTAAGTGGTGGCTGCAGTGCACGTACGTACGGGCATGATGCGGGGGGCGGGCTGCTTCGTTGGGCGTGTCAGAATACAGATCTCCCCCCCATGTTTCGCTGCGTGCTGATCTACTGTTGAGAACAGTAGCCGCACAGGACGGTTACGAGGTTTCCACGAGAACCTGCAGGCATACATGGTGGTAGCATAGTAGACAGCCTAGAACGTGTGGGCGTTCGAATCGTGTGTCTATCTGTTGCTATGCGATGATCAGACAAGGTTCGACAGAGAGGGCCTCGTATATGCGTTTATATGCGTGCACCGGTGCTATGTTGCATAATTGTTACAGTACCTTTCTGTGAAGCAGCAGTTCTCCTGTGAATTGTGGGTTTTTGCCAACGTCACCGAACACGACTTTGCAAAGATGCAACAACGCGTACAGTTCCGGCCCAAATAATATGGCTCGCAGCACTCGCACGTACTTCCATTCCGGCCCAACCAATGTGGGCTAAACTGTAGCGCAGTCGACCAGGCCGCACGCACCATCCAATTTACGGGATATTTTTTATTTATTAAAAAATATTTACAAACTACTCCCTCCGTCCCATATTATAATCATTTTTAGAGTTAGACATAATTATTAAGAAAGTAGGTAGAAATGAATGGTGGAAGATTCTGATTGGTTAAGTAGTGGAGTTAGGTGGAAAAAAATGAACGGTGGAGAGTTTTGATTGGTTGGGAAGAGAATGTTGATAGAGAAGTTGTTATATTTTGGGACAAATCTTGAGGGCTAAAAGTTATTATATTTTGGGATGGAGGGAATACAAATATAGACGCCTCACGTCTTCTGGAAGGATGTTTTTTAAAAATCGCCTTTTCTAAAGACGTTAAGGGATCTAAATGTAAAATTTTTATTTATGTTCAGACCCTTTTCGTTGGTTTCAATTTCTAAAAAAAAACTAATAATGCTTATTTGATGCTCTAAATGATTTTATATGGAAGAGTAATAAACTATAAAGTTGACTTTATAGATCTCGATGGGATCTACAACTTTTATATAAAGTTTATCTTCATCCAATGTCGTTTAAAATGTTTTGAATTTTGTTAAGTTGTTAAAGTTTTTAAATATTTTAATAAAAAATGTAAAAGTAAAAAAAAAATCCAATTTGCGGACGCAGGTTTCCCAGCACTCCGCTATCCATTATCAGACGATCTTGCTGACCATAAGCTGTACCACACTCCCACTCAAACGGAGGCTCGTCATCAGCTTTGGGATAAGATAACAGAAGTCCACGATGAGCGGCGGCGGCGACGCAGCCGCCATCTGCGCCCAGATCGCGGCCGTCTTCTCCGGGGACCCCGCCGCGCGCCCCGTCCTCGTCGCCGAGCTCGCCGCGGCGGCCGCGCGCGGGGGCCGCGTGTTCGTGCACGGCGTCGGGCGGGAGGGCCTCATGATGCGCGCCCTCTGCATGCGCCTCGCGCACCTCGGCCTCCCCGCGCACTGCGTCGGGGACGTCACTGCGCCGCCGGCCTCCCCGGGGGACCTCCTCCTCGCCTCCGCCGGGCCGGGCGCGTTCTCCACCGTCGACGCCATCTGCGGCGTGGCCCGCGGCGCCGGGGCGCACGTCGTGCTGCTCACCGCCAAGCCCGAGGGGGACTTCCCGCGGCGCCAGGCCGACGTCGTGGCTCACCTCCCCGCGCAGACCATGGCTGACGACGAGGAGGCGACGACGGAGAGCTCGCCGGCGAAGGCGAAGCTGCCGATGGGGAGCCTGTACGAGGGAGCCATGTTTGTGCTGTTCGAGATGGTGGTGCTGGAGCTCGCTCGCGTCTTGGGCCAGAGCCCGGCCCAGATGAGGGCGCGCCACACAAACTTGGAGTAGCCTAGTTTGTGTTTTGGCCCACTTGTAACAACCTGTATGGCTGTGTTGTGCGGATTTGCAGTTGCCTGATAATGCTTTTTCGTCAAATTGCAAGTACATCCAACCTAATGTGTGATTCCTCTAATTAAAAGAACTTCCAACTTATATGTGATCGGAATGTTGAATTACAATGTACACCCTGTTATAAAACGTTTTGACTAAGTTTATAGATAAATATAGTAATATTTATATTATTAAATTAGTTTTATCAAATCAATAATTACATATATTTTTATAACAATACTTTTTTCTACAAACTTGTTTAAACTTAAGCGGTTTGACTTTGTAACGGAGAGAGTAGTCATGTTTTTTCCCATCGTCAAGTTCCTCTGAAAAGGAATTTCCCAACTTATATGTAATCGAAATATTGAATTGCAAAATGATCATGGTTTTCCCATCTAGAAATCTGAGAAATACGCAAGGAAAATCTGGTGGAAAATAAGTGTAAAGCTTAGTTCTGGGCTGGTCTTGTCCTCAAACCTCTAAGATCCGAAGCCCACTCAATATTTTCTAGAAACGTTACCACGTGTCGGCTCAGAAAGGCCGGGAACCTTCTAGAATCCGCTGGATGCTTCTCGCCCTATCCCTAACCTATCCCCGTTCCCAAATCCCCCATTCTAGACGCGCTTTCCATTCTCTGGAAGCAAATTGCGCTCTCTGGATCTTCTTCTCCGTCTCCTCCCCGGTCTCGTGTGAGCGCTACTCCCGGCCCACAGGTTCTTCATGGCGTCGCCGGCGGCGGGGACGCCGCCGTTCTTGACGAAGACGTACGCGATGGTGGAGGACCCGAGCACCGATGAGACCATCTCGTGGAACGACTCCGGCACGGCCTTCGTGGTGTGGCGCCCCGCCGAGTTCGCCCGCGACCTCCTCCCCAAGCACTTCAAGCACAGCAACTTCTCCTCCTTCGTGCGCCAGCTCAACACCTACGTGCGTCTCCCTCCGCTGAACACTCTCTCTCCCCCTCTCTAATCTCAGTTTGGTTTCGGTAGATCGACGAGTTTTCCGACAGATTTGCGTGTGTTGGTGCAGGGATTCAAGAAGGTGGTGGCGGATAGGTGGGAGTTCGCCAACGACTGCTTCAGGAGAGGGGAGAAGCACCTGCTCGGTGGGATACAGAGGCGGAAGGGGTCTGGGACCGGAGGCGCGGGGGCGGCGCCGGCGGGGGGCATACCGACGGCGATACCGATCTCGTCCCCGCCGACGAGCTCCGGCGGGGAGCCCGCGGTGTCGTCGTCGCCGCCGCGCGGGGCGGCGGGGATCGCGGCGGGGGTGAGCGGCGCGGTGGCCGAGCTGGAGGAGGAGAACGCCCGGCTGCGGCGAGAGAACGCGAGGCTGGCGCGGGAGCTGGCACGCGCGCGGCGGGTCTGCGACGGCGTGCGGCGCCTCGTGTCGCGGTACGACCACGACCACGGCGGCGGGGAGGAGGAAGCGGGGGAGGGCGACGTGAAGCCGATGCTGTTCGGCGTGGCGATCGGCGGCAAAAGATCGCGCGAGGAGAACGGGGAAGACGAGGAGGAGGAGGAGGAGGAAGGGGCTGACGAGGACGGCGAAGACGATGAGGTGGAGGAAGACGACGAGGAGAGAGAGAGGCACGCGGCGCGGCGGGTCCCCGTGAGGGAGGGGAAGGTCAGGAGGACGACGGAGCTGTCGGATCTGGACGTGCTCGCGCTGTCCGTGCGGGCGGCGGCCGCGGCGAGGCCGGGCGGGGCCTCCCGTGACCGCAAGAGCTCGGTCTCGTAACGGTTGTTGACTTGCTGTTGATTTTATATGCGGCGTAAAACTGAGAAAATTGGATGGCACATGAGCCAAATTGAATTGTAGTTCGTACCAGTACCAAGCAAACTGCAGCCACTTTACAGGGTACTAAACTATACTTTCGGGAGTAGTAGGAACATTGTAGCCTTGGTTGTCATGATGATGTAAATTAGGACATGTCTCATGCTAACCTTTTAAGTGGTTTGTTGTAGCTCTCAGAAATGAAATAATAACTTGATAATTTCTCTTGAATAAAAGCGGCAATACTAACTTGGGCATAAAGAGGGTAATACTAACTTGTGCATAAAGAGCATAATATTGTTGGAGCCTTGGAGGACCAGATTATGTACCTGCGACTGGAATTCCTAGATGATGAAGTCGCTGGGTGCAGAAAACATACATCTAATTTCTCATGCAGCAGTTTGACTACGGCATTCAGAATTTCAGAATTTCAGATACAATACGTCAAAAACTACAGTAGCAGGTTATGAGGAGACATCAGTGGCATTTTTCTCCCAGCTTCTTTCCCGCGAACGATTATTGCTGTCGCTTCTCGTAATGTGCCGCAGGCATAGAACAGAAGGCAACGGCGTCTATGAACGCAAACTCGTGCAATGACAGTAAACAAGCAATTCTTTTCCCCTCTTGATCCTGCTGCCGCTCTAGGCCAGAGAGTTCACATGCAGATTTTCTCCGACGATCTGGCAGTGTTGAGGCACGACACCGTTCCTGTAGTCGCCAGAAAAATCTTCTACATTGGTCTGCAATGAATGCTATCACGCTGGGGAAGCTCCAGTCAGAAATGAGAACTCTGACCTCCAACTATCAGCAACACTTCCCAGATGCATGCTGCGGTTGCTGCCCTCATGGTGATTTAGTTCTAGGGCTCAGAAGACCTTGCTCCTTGCAAGATAGAACGGAGAACTGATTTAATCTCGTGTTCGAGAAAAACAACTGATTTAATCGCATCCTCATTACTTCGGCACATAGTAGCAGCAACGGAAATACATTTAGAGGTACTAGTGTAATAGTAGCTTACTTTGATGCTTCATTTCCTTGATGACAGGGAATATATTGAGCTCCCAGGAGGTGGATAGTCCCAGGTATAATAAGTCCAGTTCTGCCAAGTTCCAACTCATCAAAATAGGCAATTAGAACTTCCTTTTGCATTCGTCATCTGTTGCAAAATGTCAAATGACATTATGTGAGGTAATATCTGTTTAATATACGGAGGTCATCATGCATAGAGCAAGTCCATTGTACCATATAATATTATTACTACACCTTTTACTGCTAAATTTGGGTATTGGTTTGCTTCATTTCTATCAGGGCCAGACGATTCCCAAAGGCTGTGGGCCCTCAGAGGCATCAGGAGAAATGTGTGTTTGTTGCTCTCAATACCAACCTTCTGAGAAGTAAGAACCATCCTGGATATGTAGCTGAATTGCACAGTGTTTTTACAAGTGCAATAAACATGAAAGATGTAACAATCGTGAAAAATAATCCGAGAGTGCAAATGTTAGGCAGGATTGAAAGCACAGGAGTTGATGTTTTTTTTTTTTTTTTTTTTTTTTTTTTTTTTTTTTTTTTTTTTTTTGCATACAGTGCTGACATTTTTTCTTTTGCATATACCCAGGTGTTATGGGATTTGAAATTTATTTTTATGACGTACCTGCTGCACATATATGGAAAAGTTATGTGCAAACCAAGCCGATTATCTCCAAGACATATTTTACTGCCAGGTATCTTGCAGTTTCTTCTTCATAACCCTAAAACTCTGCTGTCCTGTTTCTGACCAATTGAAAGAAGTACTTTTCAGCATGTCAGAAAACATAGGTGCTTTTGATGGTGCGTTCTTTGTAGAAATATCGTCATAATCTGCACAAATGGAGCAATAGCAGTCATTCCCTAATCAAAACTGATAGAACTGGAAAGCACTTAATTTGGAGGAAATGCTAAGCACCGCTGTTAAAGTGCATATGAGTAGAAACACATAATCGCTAGAGCAAAATAGGCTTCTTCATCTTCTTTTACCATAAGGGGCAAGAGCAGCATACTTAGTATGTGCTTAAATACACATGAAATGGGGTTACAACACTAAGAAATCCTGGCTCAATTTCCATTCTCTAGCTGAAATTGGCCAAATCACACCCTGAACTACATGTTTGCTCACTTTCATCCCTACACCCATTTGGCACCACCATATAGTATTGCTAAGGCAGTGCATGAATATCAAACTGCCATTCCCGAACTAATATAGCCAATTTCCAAAAATTATTTTCCCCAAGCTACCAACTGGACAAATTCAATGGCCTGCCATTAAAATTATTTCTAACAAAATTACAGATAATCTAAACTCTAGATTAGAAAGAATTAATATTCTTCTGACCTGAAGACCTTGGAAGATGGTATTGAATTTTCAAAAACGTAGAGGCAGTTTTATCCTTCTTATGGCACAGAACTCGAAGAAGGGTATGGGCATCATGTACATGTCTTCTTCGAGTAGTTGTAAGTTCAAGATGGTGAGGCAATTGATCACTTACATTTATTAACATGTCAATGATTGTATCAGCCTGAAAATCATTTTCATTTAGTTGGCTACTGCAGAACTTTTCTTTCTGCAAAACAAAAGAGAAAGGAATAGCATACCTTTAACACAAATAGGTCTAGTATTTGATGAGTTAGTCTAGCCTCCTTTTCAACTAAATCCAATGGTAAACCTTGGCCTTCAGCTATAAAGAGATCCTAGAAGAAAATCAACAGTCAAGGCAAATAAATCTTGTTACAGTGTTAAGGTTCGCCGAGATATCAACATGTTGAAAAATATAAAATATGCTGGATACATAAAGAGACTTTTGCTTCTTTCTTCACTCGATAATAATTACAATGCACTCTCAAATCTCATTCTTACCTTGATCATAGCAAGATCTTGATGCATCAAGTCCACATCTGTCTCCAAAAATGCTCGGGATGGGCCTCCATCCAGTAGGATCCAAATAAGCCCTTCCTAATTAAATCCACATTTCATAAGCTTTTACTCTACCTTAAATGAATAAAGCTTTTACTCCACAATGGAACATTGATAGAAAAATATATACCATGCATGCTTGAAATACTCTCAGCACAACTTGGTCACGTAGGGCATCAACAATCAGATCACATACCTGGTCAAGAACCTACAACATAGTTCCAGTTCATCCATTAATAAAACTCAAAATTAAGGATAAAATGTAGGTAGCCAGGTATCTCAAGTATGGTTTCCTACTTGATCAATAGTAGGGATAAACATCTCCATACGTGCACTTTCAACACTAGCACGGTACAAGGAGAAAAGTAACGAGTCCCGCATATCCCAGAATACAGCCCTTGTTCCTGCAAAGTATTGCTTTAGAAACTCATGTGATTGATATATACAATATTGTGGATGTTTTCTTATTCTTTCTCCATTCCAGATGAATTAATATCTGGCACTGTTGGTGAACAAATGTATGGAATTCAAAATTTGCAGCAATATTATATTATCAGGATCTAATTCTAATAAATATCATGTACTTTAGTAAACCATATCTTAATTTAACCAAAGCAGCTCAAGAACAAATAGTGCAACTATACGTTTCAACATACAACAGCAACTTCATATTCTTGGCAAACCTTTGCTCTTCCAATGATGAATATACAACTGAATGAATTCAAAATAGTATCAATGAATTAGCAGCAATTTGACAGCAATTCTAGCAGTAAACTACCATGGATTCTGAAGAACTAAATGCAAGCATAACAAAATTTCTAACAGCCTACCTGCCCAATTGTCCAAACAAATCTCTAGTATGAAAATGACTGACTACAGTGTACTTAAAAGTTAAATACACTTGCTTAAAGTTCATTCCATGGATAAGAGCGTAAATTGTAAAGAGCATAAACTATCTAGAATCTTAGTAGCTCACCAATGAAGTTCAGGATTCTGTCAGTTGTACTCACTGCAGTCCTTCGCACATCATCAAATATTGTAAACAACTCATCGATTGATTCTTCAGAAGATAAGTTTTTTGGGAGAGTTCGTCCACTAGCAATGCAAGACAAATAGTCTAGCAATCCCACAGCTACAACAAACAAAGCAGAGGGATAAAGGATAATCATTCATAAGCTTGAGCTTGAGGGATTGAAAAACTCAGCTGAAGGATTAAGCATAGTATCAATCCAATTAGCAAGCTATCAAAGCTGTATCTGTTGGAACTTGGGAGGTTTAGACTGTCTATTATCGCCAGGTTTTTATAGGCACAGCATTGTTGCCTGTTTAAGTTAAAAATATATGAAAGAATTAATGCAGATTCTCCTGAAGGTTTTTCCTCCCAGTTCATAGTCAAACTCCCACCCCAAAACTCTCCCTCATTACCCATGCCATCATGGCCTTCCACTCTTCCATAGTACAGTAGATACCTTGCTATGAGCTAGGAATAACACTTCACATGTTCCAATAGTATGTAACTCTTGCCCACAGTCTGCAACAAAGTCCTGGGAATCCATGAATAGAATGATCTTGCAGTTTCTCAAAACAAATGTGCCTAGTTTTGTGTATTCCTCTAGAGTAGCATGTCAAACCATATATTAAGCTTGAGTAGGCTTCACTGTTTCAAGCTCCAATTTAGAGTTTTAGACCTATCCTAACAGACCCCTACTGCCACTAAATGGTATCCCTGTTTTTTAGGTGATGGAAGATTACGTTGTACCTTACGACCCTTGCATCAACTAGTGATGTGTGCAGCCATTACAAGTATCCTATTGTTCTGTATGATTTCAAAATGGAGTGGAATTCAAGTAAGGGGGAAAATGCCATAAACTGGTAACCCAAGTTAAGGAATCCTTGGTGAGTATGAAATTTGGCTAGCCAGAACCTAAAAACATACACCAAGCTATACCAAATCAATCCAATCCATGGATCTTGATACCAAACGTTCAAGAGAATTGACATCTCACAGGCTATAACTGCATTTGACGAAGTAGAAAGATAGTAGATAGCAAAGTAGCCCTTTTGGGAAGCCTTTGCTGCTTTTGCTTGAAATCTACCATGCTGGTTGTGTATGATATGGGAGTTGTATGCCATCAGACAAATATGGGACCACCACTACCAGAAGCAAGCCATAAAATAGAAAATAGCTCCAACTGCTTTCTGAGAGCCCATTCAACATGGAGATCAATAACGCGGATTTACAACTTATCAACCAATATAAAAAGTAATAACTGTGTGCAATAGAATAACACGGAAGGACATCTTTGTACAGGTGGAAACACATTTAGACAGATGGTTACCTGACTGAACTGAGACCCAAGATTGTTTGATACCTTCTTCTATGTTATCGAGCTGATCCCTAATGAACTGCATAATTTAGAGAATATGAGGATCACAATAGAACTCGCCCTATGGTGTGGTTATTGACTAAGAGCAGTAGCTTATTTCATCTATTTGACTTCAGACTCAAACATACCAACTCATTCAGAAAAGGGACGGAGGGAAAATGTAGTCAGGTCAAAAGACTCACTTGAAGAGTGTTGAGTTTCGCACATAATTTAGGAACCGTCAAATTGTTCAATTTATTAGCCACCTTCTCTTCAGGAACTGTAGGCACAATGAGTTTCCTTTTTGCAAATGGGTTCACTGATTCTGCATAACGTGTCAAGACTGGAGCACTGGGAAGCAAGGTAGCTCTAGGAACTGCAGTGGGGAAAAACAGAGAGAACAAAATGTTAGTTACCAAAGTATAAATAAAATAATATGGTTTCATGCTTCTATAGTTTCATGGTATCAGATAACAAAGTATAAACCTGTGGCAATAAAGAACATAGTAAAAGAGGGTCAATAGACTTCATAATTATATTATGACCAAAAGGATATCCCAAGTCTGACACTGTTTGCATGCAGAGAACTCAAGAAAACAGACCAACTGTGCAAAATCAGCACTGTAGAACCAATGGAATCAATGCCTACGAGGAGGTTGCTAACCTGATTAACCTGTTGAGAAATGATGCCAGATTTAACGTCCATAGTTAAACCTGTTTTTAAACCAGAAAAAGGTAGTGCATAAAGCACTCAAAGGTCCAGCAACATTTCTTGCTACAGTGTTTTTTTTTTCAATTTCGCAAAGAAAAGAAATTATTTGGACCTGCAGAAAGTAGAGAAGAAAAGCTAGCCAGGCAGCATTGCTGCTTGGGATGAGAGAGAACAGAGATGAGGGGGAAGAACCTTGGGACAGAAAGACTAAAGTTTATTCATAGTTTCTTGCTTTGTCTCAAACAAATGCTGCCATGCCCTCTTTGTAGGTTGGCCCTAACAGAAGGAACTAACAACTCAAACTTATAAGATATGCAACTAACATGTCAGATGGGCAACCACATAATCCGCTGCTACAATTATAGTGTCTTTGCAAACTGTAATAGCCTCGCAATGTAAAGAAGAAGAATGATTTTTTTTTTTTTGCGGGGAAGAAAAAACCATGAGAGCTTGACATATTAGCTATTGGTTATTTGGTGTAGAGAAACTGTAGCACAAGTTGGCATACAGTGATTGAACTGAAATGTTAGTGATGTCAAATAATAGTGTTTTATTATTGGGTATAGTCATTTTTTAGAAGTCATCATTTGACATTTGCAGTGTCACCCAAAAGAAAGAGCACAAGATATCAGCATCTCGCAGCAATGACATCAGAAATTTATGTAATAGGGCCCTGATTGGGTTATATTCTTTTCGTGCCCTGTCTGTTGTGCATGTACTGGACCTCATCCAAGATAATGCATCAGCGTTGACACAAAACCTAACACATACCTTGTTGATTTTCCATGTGATGCAAGTAGACTTGAAGGCTACTAGTAATTCCAATAAGTAGACTTCGCAAGTGGACAGTATCCAGAGGAAGACTCGAGTTAAAGAACTGTTCAATGGTCTGCACATAAAATGATCAAATATATCCAGATATTAACTGACTTAACAAAGCATATCGAACAACTCCAAGGATGTATGAAGAAACTGGCCAATTCACAGAATCGATGGGGGGAGGAGAAAAGAAATGAAACATGTAAATATTCAAGCAAAGACTAAAAGATGTAATTAGGAGTTTAAGATGTTAAGATTGGATTTAAAAATCAAATAGCACCAAAAAATAACCACAATAGTTATGTACTAATAAAGTTTGCCTTTACCAACACCCAAAAGTGAATGGTTCTATTTTCTCGAGGGAATGCAACTGATGGTAGGAAAAGGGCTTATCATGTAGCCACTTCGCTGAGTAAAAGGAAAGCTGACCTCCTCCACTATCCGGAATACTTCAACCACAGATGTTGCATGTCTTTCATGAGCTGATAGAGGCTCCCAATCCTACAGATAAAAGGTGAAACAACAGGCCTCATAAACATTTTGCATTAGGCACTCACATGAACCATTTAACAAAGTTAAGTGAGTTAAAGGTAAAGAGGTCTCCATCAATATAAAGTTAAGTGATCAAATAAAGGGTGTCCTTACTCCTAAACCCAGCTTACTTTTGATATGTATATCTATATATCAAGGCCCAGCCCATATATTAGGCCCATATAGTCCATGAGGACTCTATATATTGTCATCCAGAGAGAGAAGGATTGCATTGATTCTAATCCCCAAGGTAAGTAATAACTTTATTAGGGAAAAGTGAAAGTAGGCCACATAAAACATTGTGGAAATTGTAAATTGTGTTTACATCAAATATGCATGCAATATTACCCATATCGATTTGGCATAGATCATTCATGCCAGTTCTTTTTAGAATGCCATGAAAATTTTATTTAAATCAGCGGTACCACCAAAGTTTATCAGTTCATGTAGTAAGTTTAATTATGTTGGATAAATGAAGCTCAATGTTTAATTTTTTTCTTTCTTTCTTTTTCTTTTTCCTTTCCTTTTCTTTTCTTTCTTGCAAGATTCAACATGATTGCAATTATCAATTTAACTTGCAAGACGTATATTGCTAGTTATTGCAATTACTACATAAAACCGTGTGGATGGCAATGTTAAATCCGATCTACTTTGCACCAAACACAGATACATATACCAGTTCATACCAAAAAAAACATACATAGTTTTTCCTTATGCTATATGTGAGTGTAAATGAGCAGAAGCTCATAAGAATTTTGAGGCAGTTGAAGAACAATTAGTTATTTAATAAAAAGAAAAAGCTAGTAGTGAACTTTGCATGTAGCAACAGACCTCTATCTCAATGGTACGTTTTGTCCACTCCAAGACATTCTCATGTTGAACATGCAGCCATTGAAGAATGAGAGGTGAAGAAAATTGACTGATCTGTTTTGGAATTACAGAAATATCATTTAGTTCAATGTAAATGTATCCATGGAAATGCCAAATGACACCAAAAAAGGTTAGTATGATTTTACCGTGACCCTAACATCTAGCAGGACTGCTGCCTAAACTAACAGGATTGCATGTTATTATAGTTTTACTGTAAAACGGTAGCAGAATAAAATTCTGCAGGGTCTTTCCACAGATAATTGCAGCCAATTAGCCATTGTCAACCCAAGGTCTTAATTATCTTTTGTGGTTGAATAAAAAGTAAAGACATCCAAGGTACAGGTAGCTTACCAACAATGAATAATGTCTTTGTGATAGAAAAACACAACGAGAAAAATCAAATATAAGTCATGCCTTACCATGTATGGCTTTAAATATTTGGACAGCAAAGAACCAACAGCTCCCTCATTCATTAAGTAAAGCTTCTTAGCTACACAAAGCTCAAAATTATTTGTTGCTGCCAGTATCTCTTTCAAACTTTCTGAATTATCCATCCTTTCCAAAAATAGCTCCTTGAAACCAATGAGAATAGTAAACATCATTTGAAGTGGACAGAACAAACTTGTTACAGCTTAGAAGGGAGTTACTAGACTAACCAGCTGTTGCCCATACAGTAGGTGCAAGAGAACCAGAGCTACTCTTCCAGCTTCAGGGTATCGTTTACAAAGTGTTGGACTGAAAATAGTACACTCTTTCTCCGCCACTAGCTTTAATTCGTTTGCAAGAATTATTAATGGATGCTTAAATTCTGCCTTTGATTGGCAATCTGATGAAATTAGGGCCTAATGAAGCATGGTATGATATCAGAAATCCAATAAATATTTTATTACCAAATGGATTGTTATTTAAGTGGCCCATCAGATGATTTAACTCACATGCTTATATGCAGCTTGAATGGATCTGACAACAAGAATGTGAATCAACTTAGATTCTTGTGTAGCATCTAGTGGGGTCCCAATGAGCTGAAATTGACAAAAACACATCAAAGCATAGTACTTAGAAGAACCTCATAAGGAAAATTGAGAATTTTAGTAGCATGACACAATGATCAAGAGTAAAATGCAAGGCCAGTCCTTAAACTTGGGCTAGGGTGTCATCTAGGTCCATGAACTTGTAAAACGGGGTCCTTAGGGTGCATTGGTTTGAAGCACAAGGGGTGAAAAGTCCCTCGTTTTCTGCGCGCACGCTTCCCGAATTGCTAAGCGGTGTGTTTTTTGCAAAAAAAAAAATATATAGAAAAGTTGCTTTAAAAATCGTATTAATCAATTTTTCAAGTTTGAAATAGCTAATACCCAATTAATCATATGCTAATGGCTCACCTCGTTTTACTTATCTTCTCAATCTTCTCCTTTTCCCTCTAAAAAACACCCTTAATCTTGGTTTAATGTATCACTCGAGGCCCAAAGTGCAGAGGATGCAACTCAGGCTTGTCCACAGTGACGAGAATTTTGCACTTACGCCTCTTCACTATAGTATGCCCCGAAATCGACTCCTACCACCCCAAATCAACAAATATGCATTTCTCAGCATCCAGCAAATTCATAGTTTAAGCCATGCACCAAAAGATTTGGGAGTGGTGGGAGTAGACTTGAAGGCATACTGTAGCATGAGGGGGCTAAATGCAAAATTCTCACCACCGTGGATTGCCACATCAGCACCCAAGCTGCGTCATCTGCACTTTGGACATCGGATGATACATTAAACCAAGATTATGGACCCAAATACGCATTTTACAACTTCAAGGACCTAGATGACACCCCAGTCCAAGTTTAGACTTGCCATGTATGGTAAACATATCCTAGGGGACAACTAGTTTGATGGCTGGCTAGTTATACAGAACTCAAGAAAAATATTTACATCATTCAACAAGCATAGTAAAACTAATATTCTATGATTTAAACACTTCCAAAAAGTTTTAAACATGTGATTGTTTTTATTCAAACAAAATGGCTTAAACAACATTATACTGTTCTCTGTAATTGAATGAGAGTGATACTGCATACTGGTTTCTCTCCCCCTCTTGCCTAGCAAGGTTAGCAGACAAGAATACATGTTTGGTTTCCACGCTTGATTTTGTTTTGGGGAACATAAGAAGGCTTCCCTGCTTTGGAGAAGACAATCTATTTGTCTCTCCTTTCCTAGCAAAGATTTCCTTGCTCACTATCAAGGCTAGGGAAAGCTAGCCAAAGAGCAAAACATTCCCATGCTCTTTGTGGATGAAAAGTGGCAAGCCCATAATTCGTAATGTTTTGAGTTTCAAAAAGTGAAGCATATTATGCCAGTACTTTAGCATAAGTATAATAAATCTAACCATGGCTTTTTCATCATCATCATCATCATCAGTGCGGCTTGTTTCTGAAATAACTACCAAGTTTAGCATGCCCTCAAAGATTGAGTTGTCAACCTGTTACAGAAGTCAAGTCAAAGAAACTTATGTGAAAAGCTTTATGGTAGAATTTAACTTTTTTGCAAAAAAAAATAAAAATATTGCAAATTGATCCTAATAAAATAATTTGCACCGTTAATTCAATCAAGAACAATCATGGGTCTTTTTCCAGTTCACAATAAATTTCCCCTTCATGCTTTCTTGGTTATGCAGACTGCATACTAGTCATACTAGTTATACACGTATGTCACATATCACTTTATGTATTTATACAGTTGACGATTAACCTTTTTCAGTTCATGACTTGTATGGGCACAGCAGGTCGCTAACATAGTCAGGTCATAAGACAAATAATGAAGGATATTCTACCTACATCAAAAACTGTCTTGCAAGTTCTGCACATATGCCTTATACCTTTGCATAACCAAAAAAAGAAAAAAAGAAACCGATGACCAATGGCTCTAATTCGATGAATCATACTTGTATTGCATGTTTGATCAGTGATAAAGCTTGTAATCTGAACATGGATATAACTTCTTTTAGAGTGGAATGAATATTGATTCAATCATAAGACAGCCCTGGGTCAACAAGCAACTCTTGGAAATTTTGAGGACCTGGCAAGAGTGATCAAATGACTGATCATCTTTCATGTGGTACCCAACAATGACTTAATGCCACAAGCTTAAGCAGTTTGCATGGCTGATTAGGTAATGTACTAGAAGACTAACCGCTAATTAACATCATGTGACCATGGCCCTCATATTACTGGCAGCAAGTGAGGTTTAATATTCATTAATAGCTTTTTCAATAAGCAGCCAGAGCACAAAAAGTGAGCCCTTGGTGGATGGAAAAGAAAAAAAAACAGCTGAAAAAAAACTGTGATCCAAACAATGGAGGTGGCCAACCTTATTAAAGTATGAATGATAATTCTCCAATTGTCTAAAACACCACTTATTTATTTTAAGAATAGCACTGTCAACCAAACTTAGAGCCATGTTTCCGCCACAGGCTTCCGCTGAACAAACAAAGCTGTTTGTATACAACTCTATTTCTTTAGCATCATTATGTAATCGAAGCTTCTGTGTTTGAAGGCATGTGTGCTTAAGTAGAAGAATTTCCCCAGTTTCAGCAAACTGAAAGAAGGAAAATAATCATAAGAGTTAGTGTGGTGGGTATTAGAACTGACAAAATGCTCAGAGATCAAAATTGGCACTTTGAATGAAAGAAGGAAACTTTTCCTCTAAGATAAGACACGGACTAAGCAGAGTAAAGGCGATTTAATTTATCATTGTTCAGAAGATAATTAATTGAACGACAACAAACTGTAACTCTTTTTCTTCTGAATAGAAAGACCCTGTCAAACAATGTGCTATTGGTATCAAACATGTTGGCACATTATCGGATTGCATATCAGCAGTACCACTTGTCCATATAAACAAATCTAGGCACTTCAGCAACAAAGGAAATGTAGAGGACTTGATAGGAAGTCTATCTATTCACAATGTGCTCATTCTGAATTCTAAAAGGTAAAATCGTAAAACAGATAAAACACCCCAATTAAAGAAGAAAAGGATGATATATAGCAGTAAACAGACCTTCTTGAAAAGCACCCAAGCAAAGAGTGTGTCATGCAATTTCTGGGTGATACCCAATATAGTCCAGGTCAGCTTTACTGTTTCCAGTATTTCATCAGCCTCCTGGATGTAAAATCAAATAACAATATCAGCAACTCAGGATAAAACCGTTGACTTACTGTCACAAGGCAGTCCAAGAATGTTTCAGATTTAGTCATTTACTTATTCAACAAAACCTAGACATTTTCATTTTTAAGCTGACCAACAAGGAAATAATGATGTATAGAGAGTAAAGAAGAGCAAACCTCCACAAGCTGCCCATCTTCGAGAATATCGAACACGATGCAAAGTAATTTCTCATATAGTCTAAAGTTGAGATGATAGCTCTGGATCCAATGATAGGTCTCGCCTTTAAGGTTGAATTTCTTTGGGGCTTCACATAATTTTGCGTTGTATCTTTCAATGATAGTCAATACCTCAACAGGCCCATCAGGGACACTAACTACCCAATCCTGGAATGATTGCCGGCATAAATATAGAAAGAGCTCAGTATTAGTATTAAACCTAATTTGGAAAGAGATCAAACTTGATGTGGCTTCCGAAACACAAGTAAAATTACTTAACCAATAAGAAAAGATAAGAAACACGAAGATTAGCTCTTGCCTCTGTATCTCTTATCTTAGAGAGAACTATCCGCAATGTTTCACTCATACCATACTCACGCGATCCTGGGAAGAGAAGTAATTCTTCGAGAACATTTGCCTGGATATCAAAATTATAAACAATAATTAGGACAAACTCCCATGCTATAGGCACGAATAAATAAACTTGCTTGCCTGTCTTCTCTGCCACTGCACTCGCAGTCTTTCTGTAGGGAAATCAGATTTCCCAACAGAACTTAAGAGCTGTAATGATATGCAAGGCACGTCAAGTTGCCCTTGCACGATCCTCAAACTGATATGTCTTAAAGCTCGCCTTGTCAATGTATCCATAGATTCAGAGATCTGGGGAAAAAAAAGCATTTTGATATAGTGAGTTTGCTCCACAGTTAACAGTATTCACTTGCCTTGTAATCAGGACAAACAAAAAAAAAGGCTCCAAATGATTAACGAACAACAAAAATATGAAAAATAATCTAGTTGAAACAATAAGAGAGTACAACTCGTGCGTTGACATTTGGCAAGCATGTGAACATAAATACTTTGCTATCATTGTCACAGATAAAAATAAGAATATAGAATGAAACTTTTTTTTGTTAAACTAGTGAAAAATAAACAGTACAGAACTTGGTGAAAGAGACCTTGCCTCCATTTGTACACGGATCAAATCAAGAAGTTGGGAATAATGATTTTCTGGCTGAGGAGATGGATTTGATACTTCTGTTTTAGACCTTAGACCTTTTAAGAATTTAGGCTTCTTTTCTTTCTTCTCTTCGGAGAACAGTATTTTTCCGCTGTTGGTTACACATCATTAAAGAAGCTGAGTTTAAACAACAATATATAATGCAATTTTGACACCACTTACATATAAAATCGGCCAACAGAAAGATTCCTATGAAAATTACCTGACAAATAGTGAGGCAAGAAGGACCTCATAAGCTGTTTCTCTTATATCGTCATCTGACAATTCTTAAAAAGTGAAAAGAAGTTTACAATAAGTTCAAGAAAACAAATTAGGTAATCCGCAGTTGATCTTACTAAACAAGATTAGAGAAAATGATAATGATTACAGGGACATTATATCTGACAAAGATTCAGTGGAGCTGTATCGAAAAAATATATATAAGAGCACAACAAAATGAAGCATGCACAATTTTATACCTGTGCTTAATTTAGGTAGACCTAGTGAAAGAATATCCATTTTATTTACTTGCTTAGGATATATATCTGCCAGACTAACATCCTTAGTACCATTATCTGTTCCCAAAATGTTAATAGCTGCTCTAAAAAAATCAACATGTTCTCTAATTGGAGTTGGGTTCTCTTCAGCAGGTGCTTGAGGGACAATGTCAGGTGCTGCTTTGTTTGGAGGGGAACCAGAGCGTTCTGGCCTTGAAAGAAGAAAATATGAATTCACTGATGGAGAGCCCATCTGTAGAATGGAAAACATATAGCAGTTACAGAAAGACTTTCAAGCAGTACTTCATGAGATAAACTAAAATTCAGATTCCAGCATTGCGTTGGTGAATTGCAGACCAAGGTGTAGAGAGTGTTATAGTGTTGAAAAAAAAAGCATCATCAAAATTGAAAATGGAATAATTTATTGTGTCCGAATAAATCCTTGTGATGAGCACAAATAGGGTGCTTATTGATAAAGTCTTTGACATAAGACACTCAGACAGTCCTCATCATGTTAATATGCATACATCTAGGAATCTAAGTGGAACACTAAGTGGAATCCCTGATTTTTGTCATTGCAGAAGACACTTAACCCTCAAAGGTTGATATCTGGTAAACTAACTGGAAGTTGGATCGAGGATTAATCATTTCAGATCAATACTAGTCATTTGATATTAGTTATACTAAATGAACATGCTGCTTGTAGTTGACAAAGGGTTTCTGCATATAGCTACTTAGCTATACATTTTGGTTTGAGTGGTTTTTCAACTCTGGTGGAACATTAGAACGTTAAGATGGTTCCATTCAGTTTCAATATAGGCTCGGTAAGCTCAAACTATCGCAGTGTCACATCTCTTTAGCAGTGTTGCTACACAAAATATTTTAAACGTTCAAGCAAGAGTGCAAGACTAGGGGTAGAATGGCAAACACAACCAGACCAGTATCATCCCAACTTCTCCTCCCAAACATTTGTATTCATATAAACCACTTAGGAGAACTTATCCAATCAAACATTTGACCAGAGTGTCAAATCAGCTCAAGTCGAAATGGAAAAGGGAACTTCGGGTGATTAGTACACCAAATACCATGATCGGGTATCTCCTCTCGTCAAAATACCTCCTGGTGGCCTCTGAGGCATCAAACTGCACGCCTGTTCCGATCAAAAACAATAGCAAAGCAACTGGCCATCAGATTCGCCAATTCCTAAAGGCCTCCGCCTCAACACAGACGAGCAAGCACTTAGTCGAGGACAGTGGCTCACCGGAGGCGACGCAGCCGAGGGCGTAGTCGGCGCTGACGGCGTCGAGGTCCACGCGGGAGAGGTCGACGGCGCGGCCGCCGGCGGAAGAGAGGATGAATCCGAGGAGGGCGCGGCGATCGCGGCGGTACACCTCTAGTAGCGCCGCCGAGTCCATGGCTGCTCCGCAGCCTCGCCCTCGCGCGCGGCGGCTCCCCTACCTACGAGGGTTTCGGGAACTCGCGGGGGAGGGAGGAGGAAGGAAGCGGAGACCGGAAGAGGGAATCAGGCCGGGAGGGAAAGCTGCGGGGCCGCGACTGCGAGTGCGGAGTGCACAGCGAAAGCAGCTGAGAGAGGAAGAAAGGGGAATGAATGGGGGGAGGTTTTGGGAGGCGTTGAACACGGCCGCACGCATGAACATTGAACAGGACACAGAACAGGAACAGGGCGTGGGGCCCAAGGCGCAGTGAACATTTCAAAGCAGCAGACACGACACGAGACGCGTACCGGGTACGGCCGTCTTTCTTTTGAAATCTTTTTGCGGCGGCGATGGGATTTTGCTGACGAGATAATTCATGCGCACTTCACTTCACTCGTTTGCCAACTACTCTCTCCATCTTATAAAAAACCAACTTGGTACTAGATGTAACACATTATTATAATACTACGAATCTGGACATACATATATTCAGATTCATCATATAGAATATATCATATCTGGTTCTAGATTCGTTTCGTTTTTTATGGGACGGAAGGAGAAGGTTTGCTGTGTCTTTACACAAACAAGTACCAGGGCCCTGTTTAGATTTCAACTTTTTTTTCTTCAAACGTTCAAATTTTTGTTACATCGAACTTTCCTACACACAAACTTTCAACTTTTCCGTCACATCGTTCTAATTTCTTCAAACTTTCAATTTTAGCGTGGAACTAAACACAGGCCTCGAAATTTCTGCTTCCTTTGTGTATTGAAAGCTGCTGGACCGGATTTGATGAACGGTACCATAATGGTCCTCATCTGATGCAAGATTACAGAACGGCTACATGCGCACATCCAACTCAGATTTCAAATATTTTATTACCTTATCAGTTCAACAACAGACCGATCAAAAACATCTTTTATGACTCCCAGCTCGGTAAAATGCTTCAGTTCGGAAGAACTGGCTGTAGGACTTCGAGAGTACAAGAGATGAATCATAAGCAGGACGCATTTCGTTTGTACCTGACAATTCAACAGGACCGATAGCCCATTTACAACAGTTTTTGTGCTGAACCAATGACCAAGGCAGGAGCATAAGCACAAACCATGCTAACACAAGCAGGAAATGTGAGGATCACTCGAAGAATTACAACTCACGGGGCAACTAAGCATGTATTCCGGACAGTAAAAGACACATTGGACAACCATGTATGTGGATATGAACAGCAGTCTTGAGTCACTTCAAGTACATATATGACGCTAATCACACATTTTGGATACAAAATTTACACTGGTCAGGTCCTGTGGTTGCATTAGCAGAGACAGGTGTGAAGTTGAAATGGATCGGTGTTCTCGACCGGAGGATATTCACACAATCATACTTCTTCACTTCCACTGCTACTGCCACTTTTCCGGATATTGAACTTGCACAGGGGGCATGTTGCGTTGATATGCAGCCATTTATCAATGCAGGCACAGTGGAAATGGTGCCCACAAGGAAGTTCACGCAGCTCTGCACCATCATCATATGCCGAAAGGCAAATGCAACACTCCTGCAGTAGTCAAGTGAAGAATGAATCTAAAGTTTCATATAGCATAGAGATTCAGCATGGACATGATAATTATCCTGTGCATCCTCTGGATTTTGCATAGCTTGGCACATGGCAGTATTGGCTGGAATAAACGGTTTGGTCAAAACATGGTCAGGGTTAATTGGGTAAGAATCATTCCTATTTTAACTTGTATGTTGAATAAATGGTTCATTACGATTTTTTACAAACAAATACATTCACCAAAAGTTGAAAATATTTTATGATGTATGAGCTACGGCAAACACATAATCATTGTTTCAGTATCCCTTGCCTTCACACTATCGAATTTACTAGACAGAGTACAACAGTCATGATGAATGGGCGATACGATGTGAGTCTGTCTAAAATAAAATTGGAAAAGGTTTTGAGTTTTAGCACCTCGGGCATTGTTATGGTCAGAGATACATGTATCACAAATTTATAAAAACTTACCGCATCTTCAGGTGCGAGTACTTTCTCAATAGGTTGATTGGTGCCACACTCTGTCATTATTCCACCAAAAGGTCCTGTCTCATCAGCAGTTTGTTTTTCAGGTTCATCTGTTCTCCGAAATTTGTATCTTGGAATTTGGCGAATATCATCTTCTGACGCTCCTTCCTGATTCCAATAAGATCTTGCAAAAGGTTATCTATTGCATGAATGTCATATAAAATTATGTACATCTTCTGCATGTACATAACCAATTTATCTCTACTTGAAAAGCCATACCTGATCAGAAACCGCATAGAGAATAGCTATAATGCAAGGTAGGCAGCAACATACAGCAATACCAATGATGCAAGCCAGAGCAACACAGAATACAACAAAGAACACGTCAAATGCCAGAAAGACTATGCAAAGCCTGCAAAGTGAGTCATACAGAAACATGTTTACCGTGCCAAAAGAATATAATGAAATGACGACATTATGAAAAGCCGACTGTTAATTTAAAGATGCATACCAGTAAAGCTGAGGTGCATCACGGATAACATCCTCACCCCCAGCAGATATCCAATAAAATCCAATTATCCACCATATGAAGGAGAACATTGTATTAGCTGACTCCAGGTGCTTTGCAATACTGCCAGAGTTAACAATAAAAAAATAATAAGGCACAAGACATATAGGAGAGGTCATGTGTTCAATATCAATATTGTTAAATAAAATCACATGATACAATAGTTAATAGAGAGAATGAATTTTCCATAGCAGCACATCTAGATAGTGCGATAGCATTCAGAAACTAAATTAAAGTAGAAGACAGAAGCAAGCCGCATTATGAATATGAGGAAACAGCAAACCATGTTATGACATAACAGAGACAGACATCTGCAGTATAATTCAATATAGAGAAAACAAAAGGGAAGGAACAGACCAATGTTTTATTTGGAAGATGTTTTTATCAATTGTCTATGCAGTTGAATATTATCTAGCAGCGTAAGAAGCATGTTTCCTCAATCATCCTCATCACTAAGAAACTCATATAATAACAGTTATAAACTTATGTGTTGCCTAAAAAAATAGAACAGTCAAATAGTCAATAGAATGAGACTGCAGAAATGTGTATTAAAACATAAAAAAGAATCAGGTTTTGAGGTCACAAAAGTCTTCAGTTGACCTTTCCAATCAGATACTGGGTCTCTTCACTGAATACCAAATAGCGTATAATTTGTGTCTTAAAAAGAAACCTAAACAGGTTATGTGCCACTCATTCAAATGTCATTTTCCAGGTAACGTTGGATCCATTAGATGCCTTAGCCCATAAATTAGACCACATTTCTTTTAGCATATTGAAGCATAACACACATATACAGCTACAAAAGAACATCAATGAGGTTATTCATTTTGTCTAGTTTATGTTGAAGGAAATGATTTTGCAGGTACAATCTTATACTATCCTAATTGAATTTATAGCTTATTTAGGAGGATCCACTCTTAGCTTCTTATGGTGCGCATATACCAATTTCAAAGCACAACACTGTTGCTATGTCATGAGAACAAGCAACGCTAGATTATTTGACCTCTTAAGTAATTGAAACCCACTTAGAAGAGAATACTAGGCTAGAAATTCTGGGCATGACTGACTGGAGTGAGCTTCATGACTGTAATCAGTATCCTATGTATGACAGAGCCACTTTGTCTTACTGACATTAGCCTGATTGATATGCTCAACATAAATATTTCTAGGACATCATAGAACAGCAAACCATGCATAAAACTTGGCATGTTAAAACTGAGTATAATACTTATCTAGCCTTTTCTACTCACCCCTCTTTCTTCATACTAATAGAAGGCTCATTATACCGTGGTAAGAACTTGCGTAAGGGCAAACAGAAGAAACATTTCCCTATTACTGTATCGTAAATCTGAGCTGCTCCGCTCGTGAGTAACACGGACTAGGAAACACGCTTACTAGCCAGATCCTTCCATTTACCTGACGCAATCGGTGCAGCTACCACGGCGATCGTCCTCCGTGACATCATCATCGCTAGATGAAGACGACCCGTCACTTCCCCTTTCCTCGTCGGCGGACGCCGGGGCCCTGTCACGCTGCCCCCGGCGCATCCGGTACTCGATGGCGACGCAGACCATGTGGACGACGCACTGCAGGGCGTAGCCGGCGACCCAGGTCCGGAGCGGCATGGGCGAGTCCTCGCCACGGCTGAGCACGAGCACGACGGCGGCGACGGTGATGAAAGCGAGGTTCCAGAGCAGGTCGAGCGCCACGACGGGGCGGGAGTAGGCCCAGTCCGCCTGCCGCTCCTCGAGGTGCTCCGCGGCCGCCTCCCGCACCAGCACCGACGGCTCCCGCATCGCCCGCCGCCCCCCGCGCCGCAGCAGCCGCGCCGCGCCGCGGAGCGACGGCCGGCGGAGCGCGCCCCCTCGGCGCCGTCCGCCGCCGCCGCCGCCAGCCCCACGCCGAGCAGGGGCGCCGAGTCAAGGAGCGCGTCGCCGCGGGTGCTCGGGGAGCGAGGCGTCGCCATCGAGGGGACCCCCTGCGGCAGATCGAGGAGGAGAGAGACCTTGCTGCTCCTCTGGGGAGAGAGAGGGGGAGGGGGGCAAGGAGGAATTGGGGTGGGTTGGAAGACTGGACAGAATTTCTATTTGCTCCCTCGTTTTTCCGCTATTCAGTGATGGCCGAATGGCCGTGTGGGGTTGGACCAGAAAGAAACCAGTGATGTCAAGCAGTTGGCAACTCAGCTAAACCTAATTTTCGAAAAAAAAAAACTGACGGATAACAGTCCATTGTTCGCAAACTAAAGTGTGTTTTTTTGCTCCTTACCAAAAAAATTTTCAACTTGTTTTTTCACGTTTTGATGCTCGTTATATGTGGAGTAGTTGGTAGTGGAAATTTTATCCAAGAAAACTATACCATTGATTTGAAGTAACGTGTGTCCGCTCGAAAAATTCTAATTACAATTTATCATTAATAAGAAATACTTTATCACTAGAAAAAATATTGTCCGAATGTTTCGCCCTTCGAGGGAATAACTTACACCATGGTGCATATTGTATTTTTTGATAGAATAACGTAAAACACATTACGTTATACTATATTTTCTACTAAGTGGTATAAAACGTAGGAGTATATTACAGTAATATATTGGGACACATTTTAGTCCTGTTATAGAGAGAGATTTCACTGATCGACATCCAAGTACTTTTAGAAATTGCCACAAAATTCGCAAGGATTTTAGATTTGGCCATCGGAACAATGAATTACTCCGTTCCGTACCGCATTTGTTGTTTGCCGATACATCTACCCCCACCATTGACAAGTCCATCCGCAAGGCTTGTTGTTGCGGATGTAGCTCAATGCCACAAACCACAACGTTGGTGGATGAGTAAAGAGAACCGGTATAACCCAGCACATAGGAATGACCAACCACCTTCTCACACTCGCTACTGGCACCAGCAAGGACTGCCTTTTTGTCTTCATGAGTGACCTTCTTGACTATGCACACTTTTCAGTATTGTCTCGAGATTTGCTCCGACGTCATCTACTTTGTCGCAGGACGTTGCCACGAGAAGTTGTTCCAGTATCCCTGATGCGGGACTAACCCATCATCTTACATCTTGACGACGAGGGGCGATGATCTCCATATCTTCCTTGATGGTGTTGCCCTCCTCGTCCCTGTTTCATGGCTGCTCTAGTGTGATGGGCAAGTAAAGTGCTACCGCAACGGTGAGTTTCTCCAACGGCCTGCTCCATGATAGGAGCCGTGATGATGAGCTCCTCCAACAGCCTGCTCCTCGCTAGGAGCATCTGAAGGAGGTTGTTAAGCACATGGCTTTGGTGTGGCGGTTATGATGATAGTTTGGTGGATGAATTTACTAGTGTGGGGTAGACTAATAATAGAATGATGGGAGTGATAACTAATAGAAAATCATAGTTTCTATAGTAAAATCCAAGAGCCTTACAAATTAAATGGGCATTTCTTTAAGGACTGTGAATTGGATATTTTGATAGTACTAAGTAGTGAAATTTCCGGGGTGGCCACTCCGTACGGCCGACGCCGCTCGAGTCTCGACGGCAGCCGTCCGTGCTCATCGTGGGCTTCAGGCCCAACAGATGATGCCCCTTGCTCCTCAAGGCGGCCCACGCCCGAAAAAAAAAAAAAAAACCCTCCCCTCCGCTGGCGGGGCAGCTTTCCCCTCTTTTCCCTCCACCGCGGCGCGGTTTTTTCCCCTCTCCCGCGCATCCGCCCCGCGCCATGGACGCCTCCAGCTCCTCCGCCCCCGACCTCGCCGACGCCTACGACATCCCGTGGGTGGAGAAGTACCGCCCCACCCGCGTCGCCGACGTCGGCGGCAACTCCGACGCCGTCGCCCGCCTCCAGGTCATCGCCCGCGACGGCAACATGCCAAACCTAATCCTCTCCGTAAGCGCCATTTCCTCGAACACCTTGCGCGCGCTCTCGCTAACACCCAAGCAGCAGTACGACGAATCGTTTCTAACCTTTTTTTTTTTTTAACTATCGTTTTCTACAGGGGCCTCCGGGCACCGGGAAGACTACGAGCATCCTGTCGCTGGCACACGAGCTGCTCGGACCTAGCTACCGCGAGGCCGTGCTCGAGCTCAATGCCTCGGACGACAGGTTGGTGCGGCCGTGGCGTGGTTTTGACTTGGCGAACTGTAGCCGTGCGGCGTGCGCCCGTGGTGTGGACTGGGTGTGTGACGGACTGACGGTTGATTCGTGCTTTTGCAGGGGCCTGGATGTGGTGCGGAACAAGATCAAGATGTTTGCGCAGAAGAAGGTCACGCTGCAGCCGGGGAGGCACAAGATCGTCATCTTGGATGAGGCTGACAGGTAATGCCACCCCCTAGTGCGGATGATGTGACACCATTGCTAGTACTGTGCCTTATTTAGTCCAGACATGCCAATTTCACCACGGATTGCTAGAGGTTAAGATGTAGTAGGATTGTAGTGATACCAACAGTGTGAAAATGGAGAAACCTAGTGGCTGCTCCATCTCTGTAAGAGCAAAGCTATATTATCTCGTAGAGATGATTTTTTTTTGTGAATACACAAGGATTGTGCATCTTTTACATTAAGACTGAGGAGTTGTATAACATTTACAAGGTGAAAACTGAAAAAAAAGGCAAAAAAAAAGGGATGCTAGGGCTGAATCTTGTGTCATGGGTGTTGCGACCTAAATGACCAAAGCCCTGCTAAGCGCCATAGTGCAGCTTCTTCCACCACCACCTGGGCAATTTCCGGCCAGGACTTCTGATGATTGTTGAAGTAGTTATGAATTAAAGACTTGTTCATTATGATTTTTAAGCATATAACTACTGATATCAAGGATATAGCTAGTTGTTTCTGAGTTTGCCTCACATGCACTTGCTACATGCAGCATGACATCGGGAGCACAGCAAGCACTGAGACGAACAATGGAGATTTATTCTAACACCACAAGGTTTGCGCTTGCATGCAACACTTCATCTAAGATCATTGAACCCATTCAAAGCCGTTGTGCTATTGTACGGTTCTCAAGGCTTTCAGATCAGGAGATTCTTGGCCGACTCATGATTGTGGTAGCAGCTGAGAAGGTAATGATTGATAGCTCTTATAAATGCGAGGACTTGACTATACATTTTATTGCCTAGTTGCTTAAGTTTTCTTAAATCGACAGATTTCTCATAGCACTGGTTATGATTCATGGTTTCTTTGAAACACTGCAATTGTTATTAACCTTTTTAGTTAAACATCATTTCTGATGGCTATGTTTACACCTACATATATATTGTTCTTCCCTGTAACCTTGAAGCTATGATTGTGCATTTACGTGTGTTTCTGCGTTTCTTGTCCTATAATTATCTGCTGTTATTATTAGGATTAATTAATTTGTCTTAACAAATATCATTAAGTCCTCACCGGTTTACTGAAAATACCCAGCTGAGTGGGCACATCTAGCTGTTAAAGTGAAGAGGTCATAAATCTTGTTAGTCATCCTCTAATGGCTCTTCAGTTCATTCTAATGTTCAGCACTAGGCATTTTCTTGCCTGCAATGTTGCAGCCAAGCAACTCCCTCTACCTTTCTTTTAAGTTCTTCCTTTTCTCTCTGTGATGTAGATACTGGATACTGGGAATGTTTGATCATCTAGTTAATTTGTTCCAAGTGCCTGGATTAATCTTTTGAACCACAACAATCGTTTATATCCTATTACCACCCTACCATTCATACAATTTGTATTTGCTCCCAATATATGGGTGCTGGTTTAATTTTATCTAATCTCTTATTTTCTTGTACAACCAAGGTTCCTTACGTGCCAGAGGGACTTGAAGCTATCATCTTTACTGCTGATGGTGACATGAGGCAAGCTTTGAACAACTTGCAAGCTACAGTTAGTGGGTTCCGTTTTGTTAATCAAGAAAATGTGTTCAAGGTTTGCAGATAGCTTCTTTTGCCCTGTATTTTGTGCGTTATTTCTTCAGCTAATAGTAATGCTGTATTGGCTCCAGGTGTGTGATCAACCACATCCGTTGCATGTCAAGAATATGGTGAAAAATGTGCTTGATGGAAAGTTTGATGAGGCTTGCTCTGCTCTGAAGCAATTATATGATTTGGGCTACTCTCCCACTGACATAATCACTACTCTCTTCCGGGTTATCAAGAACTACGACATGGCTGAATATCTGAAGCTGGAATTGTTGAAGGTAACTTTACAGCCTATCAAGGTGCAACCTATGCAAACCAATTATCGTTCTTTTCTACAGTTGAATAAAAATATCATGTTTATTTCCTTAGGAAACCGGATTTGCTCACATGAGAATCTGCGATGGTGTTGGCTCATTTCTTCAATTATCAGGCCTTCTGGCAAAGTTTGCGTTGGTGAGAGAAACAGCAAAAGCATCATGAACTTGTTGCAGATGGTAATAGCTGTACGTGCAACTGTCCTGGCACGGTAACCTAATGATCTTAGTTAACAATATTCTGGCTTGCTGAGTACAATCATGTCTCGCTTAAAGTAGAACATCTATGTTATGTGCAATGGAAGATAGCGCCTCGCTTGAGTAAAACTTCTATATATTTATGTCGAATGAATGATCCAGCATGGCCAAAGGGGGCTAAATTATGCATCCAGTTCAAGTGATGTAGCCTGTATGGCCTTGCCCGTCGCAAGTCAAATTGGCACAAACGATTTGTTGGTATGAACAGTCCAGTACATTATTTGACGTTTGTAGATGGTGACATAGAAATTTTGCCCTGAGACTAGGATATTTCTCTTCTTATCTTTACATTTTGGTAAAGAACATCTTTCCCTATGGGATGGATGAGAAATATGGTCCTTCCAGTTGTACATCTGTGCCACCACACAACTGAGCTTAGGTGGCCCCTCGACCAATGATAGGCTACGAAGCATTGCACCATCAAAGGAAGATGCGTGCAACACGATACCGGTCCGGAAAGCTTAGGTACAAAATGGAATTGTTACACGGTGACATTTTGCATCCTGAATTTTGCAAAGTGAGCCAGAACTTTGTGATTCCATTTGCACATTTCATGACTGCCGAGCTGCTCTTCGACTAGTGGGACATGTAAACAGCTTTCAGAATCAGATTGATCTAAAACATATTTTAGCATAACAAGGTTTGCATTTGCCAGGCGTTGATAGCTCGAGACTATCAAACACAGACCTATGATCAGAACCTCACATACCAGCACGACAATTCGGAGCTTCTACAAAATGTATCACATCTCCCTGTAACAAAAGCTAGAAACCAGAAACACCAACACCCTGAGCCAGCCAACAAAAAACACAGATGACTCCCTTCTCCCTAAAAAAAGAAAAAGAAAAAGAAAAAGGAAAAAGAAAGAAAGATGGCCTGCTACATGGCGTCCAAAATGCAGGTTCACTTCAACATGCACCAGTCACAGGAGAGAACGGAGGCGGGAGAGGCTGAGTCAATACCCGAACCACCACCATTGCTCTGTGCTAAGGACCTGCCCCGTCCGGTCCTTGCCACCTAGCAAAGGTCCCTTCCTATGTCGCGGTTCGTTCTTGACTCAGGCTCATCGCCACAGCCGCTCCCACTAGGCCAAAAGTCCCCCCTTGTTGGGTTCACACGTCGCAATGCAGCGCCGTCTTGATCTTCTTGATGGTGCAGGAGATAAGGTTGCTCACGGTCTCGACTGACTCCACCGTGAGCTTAGCACTGGGCTGGCTGTTGGCAAGTATCTGGAATGCAACGGTGAGCAATGAACCGCCCATCTTGTGATCTGCGCCGATGCTAGGCCCAGCAGGCAGGATGGCAAAACCTGATGGAAGAAGGGCGACGCATGACGAATCCCCACCACTCATGACAAGGTGCATTGCTGGGATGTCTACAGGAGCATACACAACCATTGAACCGGATGCGTCTGCACACGTCTCCTGTAGGATCAGCATGCTGTTCTGCTTGTCTTTGGTGGGCTGCACAGTGAAATTTTTGGTAAGGGGAACAGAAGACTACCAGAGATCAAAACAGAAAATGATTTGATAATTTCTGTCAGTGATGCTTTTCATGATCCAGAGTGACCTACACAGGCACAGTTGACTGACCGAGATTACACTGAAGCCGTTAAAGATTTTAGACCTTTGTTATGTATGAAGTTAGTTTGACTGCAAAATTTGGGCTGTGAATAGGTCAGGCACAATACCTTTTCTAGTAGTAGATATTTGTTCCTCTGTTTTGGCCCTACCAGCAACCCTTCCTCAGATACTGTGTAAAGTTAGGTTCTGCAGATTATTGACTCCCAACAATATTTGATAAGTCAAAAACTAGTTTTTCCGCCTTATACTCTTCTCTTTTTCTTAATGGAATATCTGGGCACTTACATTGATGTCATCATTTAGATTGCAGGATTGGAAATGTGTAGCATCTTTCTAACCTCCATTAATCTCTATTGACCTAGCGGAATTTCTATACATGCTTATATATTATAGTAGAGTTGTATTTGTTAGGCAATTGCCAAATGTGTGACTAAACATATAGTTTTGTATTTGTACAACTATATCATCACTGGTACAACCGTTACAGAATTAAGACTCACAAAATTCCAGTTGTGAATAGACATAGTTCTTATCCTTTCCCCACCAGCTAATGCAGTACTTCCTTGGCTTCATTTCCTTTCTTTTAGCAATATAAAATACCTAAGATGGCCAAGCAAGGGTACTCTTTTCACAAATTCTAAATTATTTCACATTAAACTGGTTTCAGACAAGCATGTGATTGTTTAGAGTGTTTAGTGATGTGGTGCCCCCAACAAATTCTAAAATGTTGTGTTTAGGTTTGCAACAATTTTGAAATGGCAGTCTCCCCCACAAGTCAGTTAATGATGCTGTTTAGTAAGTAGCAAGCTATGAACAGAACTGTGGCAGACTGTTAGCTAATACTCACACTAGCCTTCAGTAGACATACGGTATTGCCATTCTGTTGCCCCTTGGCAATGCTTGTCACCTCCTGCATAGGGCCACCATTGCTGAGGATATCCCATTCAGCACGCAGCCCCTTGTTGTGCAAGAAGTTGAAGAGCCGTTCAGGCATCACAGGCATCCACACAGATGTAGCAGCACTAAGCACCACACCTGGCGGCGTTCCAGGTTCATCCACACTCTTCCGCGCCATTACATGCACATCCTCCCCAATGTTGCCTGTCAATCCAACCAGTTTGCTCCATTCACGGGTAGATGATGTGCTCACCCCTGCACAGAAGTTGTCCGTCATCCTCCTTGCCAACTTCAACATGCTCCGTTTACCTTCAGGATGGATAGCTGTTGCAAATGTAGCACTTTATTAGAAGGGTGGATCCAATTGAAAGTTAGCAGTAGTATTGAATTTCTTTACCTGATGAGTCGTTCTCTGGCAATGCAATAGAAGACATGAGAAGGGCCAAGCATTCGCACTGCCGCTGTAATGTCGCGATCCATCGCCCTGCACCAAGGGCAAGACCAGACCGGAGAAGAGGCCGGTAGAGCGGGTGCACAGATGCCTCATCATATTCTGTATGTTCAACCCATGTGACCTACAGCGTCCATTCAAGATCTGCTGTTAGGACTTAAATGCACGCACAAAATGCAAATGTCTTGAGAGGTAATACACCAAAAGAGGCCTGAGGTGCAGTTTTCCTGGAGTACGCAACTACTACACAAGCTGAATGGTACAATTAATATTATTTTTCCATCTAAGTTTTTTTTTAATTTCTTTTTGCCCAATCAATGGAACATAAAAAGGACATCAACACAATGTTTTAAAATAGAGGCTACCTCGAAATATTAGCCCATAGTGGGGCCCCAGCATTGTAACTAGTACTTTGTAAGAGAACCATAGGCCATAGGACTAATGGATAATAGTTACACATTTGTCTATTCTGTTTTGCATAGAATAAACCATAGAAGTACCATGAAAGCAGGAGGCAGATCCAGAAACTGATCAATAGAGAGATTATAGACTTCAGAAAATACTGATATTTGAACTAAATACTGTAAAAGCACCAAAAGCACATAAATGAAATTACAGAAGAAAAGTAGAAATCTTGAGAGACGACAGTATCTCTAGTTTGATCTAGGATTAGCTGATCTGTCTGAGATTGACTTTGTTTACATTTTATAAAGCATGGTTCTGATCACAGTATCTTCATCGTTAATTATTTTGACTTATGGTATGCCCCAAGAATGGCACACCACTAGTGTTCCAAAATATTGTGTTCCTGAACCCTTAAAATAAAGAACCACTTCCTGCTTTCAACCTGTGGGTTTACATCAGATTAACTTATACAGTGTAATCTATAGTAATGAGACGTTATAACTCATCAAATCATGTTTCTACCATTGTAGACTAGATATATTTGTCCCATTCAGATGTCCAATTTAGAATTTTGAATAGAATCGTTCGTGCATGTGTGCGCCCCAGAGCAATTTGGATCAAGGCTATATAAAACTCTGGTACAAAACCCAAGGTGAAGAGGACTTTTACATTGAGACAAAACAATAGAGGAAGCAGTCAAGATTTCAACGAGGAGACGCATCGATTAAACTGCGGACAAGAAGTTACCCAAGGGGCACCATCCCAGGAGTAGAAGAAGTATCTAATCCCCTAGGAGAACTGAACTCAGGACTAAACAAAAGCAAGGGAGCGTACTTGGGGAAAAGTGTTGGATCTCAGAACCACTTAAGTATTCCTAAATCATTTATTTACTCCCCTCCCCGCTGACCAATACAATACTTTACTTCGGATTATGGACTCATAACCACAACATATCTATAGGAGACATGAGCCTACGCCATGACTTGTGAATACGAACAAAATATTGCATGGTGATCACCAGATGACACATTAAACTAACATACATTATTTGAAACATTACGAAAGAATACACGAATACTCTTTTCCATGAGTGTCATGTTAGTTGCAGAGAGCCTGAACTAATAAAGCACTCTCCATATGTATGATTATCATATGAGTAGAGCTAACAAGCTTTGCAACTAATATGGCTGGTTTTGACAGACTTCTAGTGGCAGCGTCGTGGGTACTACCGAGCTGCGACTTTGCAAGGTAGATGAGTTTCACGTCAACCGATAGCATGCTGACTAGTGTGAATTAATAGATGTAAAACCACATACTACCCTGAAGTGAACTAGTCAAGGATATCACGGTTTAAGACATTTACCTAAGAATATCTAAGGAGCAGGAGCTAACAAAGATAATCAGTCTCAGTACCTTAACAAACCCATTTGGAGTGTCCTGCAGCACACAACCAGAAGGCAGCCTTCGGCAGTTCATGTTTGCAGTCGAGGATGCAGAAGTAATGCCCTGATCCCTCATCAATTCATCAGCCGAAACGTCCACTACAGCCCATACACCATCAGCCAGCTGTTTGGAGAACCTGAGAAACTTCACCTCTCTAATAGGCACAAGAGGAGAAAGCACCTGTAGCTCTGCCTGCATCTGTTGCAATGATCGAAATTTACCATTCAGGGGTTATGCTAGTATGATTAACCACATGAAACTCATGGGATGGCCACAACAGAATGTTCATCACTCACAAGAAGCAATGCACCATTTCTACTCCCAGCAACACCAGTAGAAATCTCCTCAGTGGTTGATGCCTTGGCAATCATGCATGAGAACATATCGGACCACCGTCGCTGTCGCAAGAATTCAAACTACAGGTGAGTCCAAACAAACAAGCAACAGAAACATGAAAGGGGGTAAGGTGGCACAAGCACAACCTCATCCATGAGGGTCTCCACAAGCGCGGCGCCATCGTCAATGATGACAATGCCAGATTCTCTAGATGCCTCTGATACATACCCTTCAGGCTTCACCCCGATGCAAGGTGGGAAGGTGTTTAGGTACTCCTCGAAGTTTAGACTCTCCTTTGCCGGCGAGGAAGGTACGGAGGCACCTGGAATCCATAGCGGATCCCCCATCTGAGCCATCTTGACTAGCTCATCCATTGCACTCATTGCTAGCTCCAAGAACAAGGACTTGTCAATGCCAGCCATTGCCGATGGTTCAGCCTCAGACTTCATGGGCGTGATCACCGTGCCCATTGAACTGGACATGGCGCCAGCAAAATCAGTGATCGTCGAGATGGGCATCGTGGCTGATGGCATCGAACCGATACCCCCAACCGCAAGCTCCAGCGACGAGCCTGGCACAGGATGAGGCTGATGCATCTGCGGTGGCGCCATGACAGAGATGGACTTGCCAAGGAACTTGGCGGCGAGCGCGCACACTCGGCTGAGCTCGTCCTTGAGCCTCGCGTTCTCGACGCGAAGGTGGTGCTCCTCCAGGGACACCTCCCCGAGCATCGCCGGGCCGCCGCAGCCAACGCACACCGCGTTGCTCGTGGCCTCCCGGATTGACAGGTTCTCGGACCGCAGCTTATCGTTCTCCTGCTTCAGCAGCGAGTTCTCGTGTCGCTCCAGTTGCATCTTTGCCAATTCAATCACCACAGGGAGAGAGAGACACACACACACACAGTGTCAAGAACTGCACTGCACCATCGATCGGAGTGCAAAGATGGTTTGCTGTTCGTTTCGATCGCTTACCTTCATCTGCGTTCGCCGATTCTGGAACCAGAACTTGACCTGCCGGGGTTCGAGGCCGAGCCGCTTGCTCAGCTCGGCGCGCTGCTTCTCGTCTGGGTGGGGGCATTCCTTGAACATCCTGCACCGATGAGCCAGTATCCATGCATGAGCCAAAGCAAGCAGCCAAGCACAGGAGAATGCAACGAATCGTTGTTCGTGGGTGGGGGCGCGCTTACGCTTCCAGCTCTTGGATCTGCTGCGGCGTGTGGCGGTGGTACCGCTTCTTGCGCTTGGGCGGGTTGCCGTGCTCGGCGTCCTCGTCATCGTCGTCGTCGCCGCCGCCGCCGCCCGCGTCGCCGCAAGAGACGACGTCGAGGTGGTCGCTCCCGGACCGGCTCATCTCGTTCTCCACCTCCAACGCGTCCCTCGCCTTCGCGCGTCCTCCTCCTCCTCCTCCGCCGACGCCGCCATGGGCCGCGGTAACCATCTTCCCACCGCCGCCGCTGTTCCGGCCTGCCACCGCGTCCGCCTGCGACAAACCGAACCAACCAAAGAAAAGACGCGCCTTTCCGAATCACTCGACCGTATCACCACCAAAAAAAAAAAAGAAACAAAAACCCCCCAACACGTCAGCGAAGAAGGCGCGCGTACCAGCGCGAGGGAGAGCGCCGGCGATGACGTGAAGACGCCCGGGCCAGCGCCGGAGAACGGGAACTGCATGCCGGCGGGGACCACGCCGTCGCCGAAGTGATCTCCAACTCCAAAGCTCGTGCCCGAATTCCGCCCCTCTTCCCCCCTGGCCCGGGAGAAGATTAGGGGAAGCAAAGCGAGAGCGAGCAGCAGCAGCAGTGCGTGCGTGCGTCTCGGGTATGTCGCGCTATTAACTAGCCTGGCTCCACCTTCCTTCCTTCCTTCGCGAGCCGTCCAAAAAAAAAAAAGCAAACCTGGGTTTCCGTGTCCAACTTTAATTGTCTGTCTTATATAAAATTATTTTATAATTCGTATTTTCATTGTTGTTAGATGATAAAACATGATTAATATTTTATGCATGACTTATCTTTTTAATTTTTTTCATAATTTTTTTAAATAAGACGGATGGTCAAACATTGGACACGGAAACCAGGGTTTGTATTTTTTTACTACTGTACTGCCAGTACTATTAGGTCCCAACAAAAACAAAAAGAGCTACTCTGCCTGGATCTGCCTAGCCTTCTTTCTGCACACCCCACAAGTCACAAGCCCAACAAAAAAAAAAAAGGTGTGTTTAGTTCCACATTAAAATTGTAAGTTTGAAGGAAAAAATTGAAAGTTTATGTATATAGAAAAGTTTTGATGTGATGAAAAGGTTAGAAGTTTGAAGAAAAAGTTAGAAACTAAACCAGGCCAAAGAGGTGTTTTGGATAGGGTGGTAAAGTTTTGGCGTGTCATATCAGTTACCCCTCCATCTACTTTTGATAGTCATATTTCCAAATCTGGAAATTTTATTTTTGATAGGCATATTTCAATCCAACATCTTAATGATGTGTGACTCTTTATTCTTCCACACAAGATTGGTTACATGGGCATAGAGAAATGTAAATATTAATGGATCACTTTTTAAATGAATGATAAGTAAAATTGTTTATCCTTAATCTGTGTGTCAAAATAAAATATGGTTATCAAAAGTAAATGGAGAGAGTATTATATAAAGTGTCTTATGGGGTGTCTGGATACTAATAAAAAAACTAATTATAGAATCCGTCAGTAAATCACAAGACAAATTTATTAAGCCTAATTTATCTGTCATTAACATTGTTTACTGTAGCACAACATTATCAAATCATAGAGCAATTAGGCTTAAAAGATTCGTCTCGCAAATTAGTCGCAATATGTGAAATTAGTTATTTTTTAGCCTATATTTAATACTTCATGCAGGTATTCAAATATTCGATGTGACAGGGTACAAAATTTTATGGTGGGATTTAAACATGGCCTAAAAAAACTTGCTAGACTGAAGGGCCGTTTGGTTGGAGGGACTAGTCCTGTCACATCGGATGTTTGGACACTAACTAGAAGTATTAAACGTAGACTAATAACAAAACCCATTACATAACTCTGGACTAATTCGCGAGATGAATCTATTAAGTCTAATTAATCCATGATTAACTTATGTGTTGCTACAGTAAACATATGCTAATTATGGATTAATTAGGTTTAAAAAATTTATCTCACGAATTATCTCTCATTTATGTAATTAGTTTATATTTAATACTTCAAATTAGCGTCTAAACATCCGATGTTACAGGAATCAGACTCTAGTAGAACCGTCCTGATCAAAACTTTAGTCCGTGATCCAAACACCACTGAGGTAGGAGAATACTAGTAGAACCGCCCTTGCACCATCTACCCACTCGGCCACTCCGCTCCTCTTCCTGTATTCCTGTATTTTTAAAAAAAAACAAAGAAAAGAAAAGAAGAAAAACGGGCGGGTTGGATTGGTTCAGGTGTTTTGCCAAGTGTATGGAGTAGCCGGGAAGAAGGGAGAGTCAAAGCAGCAGCAGCAGCGCAGGAGAAGAATGTGGAATTGTGGATGGATCGGTGTGGACACACGGGCGGGTGGGCCGGTCAATGGGGCGGGGGTGTATGTTTTGTTCGGTTGCGTGGGGGTTTTTCTCGCATGGCGTTTTGGCACGGCACGACCACACCCACCGCTCCACTCCCTTCCATCCACCAGTCGGTCGCACACACGACACGGACACGACGCTAGCGCTACGGGGGGAGGGCACGCGCAAGCGGCGAGGGGATCACGTCCCGTCCGTCAGTCCAATCCATCGCGAACCCTGCGCGGCTTCGTGCGTCGGGCTTGGCCGCTTGTCTGGATTGTTTTCGTAGCCGCCCCGCTTCGCCTCGTCTCGTCCAGTCCCGTCGTCGCTTTTCGCCGTTGTTCCGCTCGGACCCCTTGTATTTTTCCTCTCGGAGGGGACACGGCGCGGCGGAGTCAAATCGCAAAAAGGCGCCGTGCTGCTGCTAGTCCCACACTGTGGAGAACTGGAGATGGCGTGTGTGCGGGGGTTGGCTCGGGTAGGTGCCCCGTGAGTGTGACCACCCCGTGTATCCGGGCTTCTCTGTGCCGGTGAGGCGGTGACCTGACTGGTGAGAAGTAGGAGGCGTAAAACCGGCTCAACCTTACACCCTCCATAAAAATATTTAGGGGTATTTAAATTCAGGGGTAAAGGTTGGACGTGTTATACAGGAGTCACATAAGATATTTGGCACAATAAAAAAACCTAATTACAGAATCCGTCAGTAAACCATGAGACGAATTTATTAAGCCTAATTAATCCGTCATTAGCAAAAGTTTACTGTAGCATCACATTGTCAAATCATGGAGTAATTAGGCTTAAAAGATTTATCTCGCAATTTACTAGCGAACTGTGTAATTTGTTTTTTCTATATTTAATACTCCATGCATGTGTCCAAACATTCGATGTGATATTGTAAAATTTTTTTTGAACTAAACATGCCCTAAATATGATTCGAGGAAGCAGAAGTTCAAATAAATCCCTGTTTAGTTCTCACGCAAAAATTTTTTACCCAGTCACATCGAATATTTGGATACATGCATGGAGTATTAAATATAGACAATAAAAACTAATTACATAGATTGTATGTTGTCGGAGAGTGATTCCTAATAAAAACAATATTTATTAAGCCTAATTAATTTATTAATTAGGCTTAATAAATTCATCTTGCAATTTTCTGGTGTAATCTGTAATTTGTTTTGTTATTAGACTATGTCTAATACTTAAAATGTGTGTCCGTATATCCGATGTGACAACCAAATCTAAAAATTTTCCCCAACTAAATAAGGCCTTAATGGGTTTGATCCTTGACTTTGGCAATGCTATTTTTTCTTTTTATTAAGGAGTGAAATACATGGCCGGTCCGTAAACTTGAAAATTGCACGTTTAGATCCGTGAACTTGGTTCAATGTACCACCCCGGTCCAAATGTCCTTTGACAGTGTTTGACCGCCAACGTGGCATGCTACGTAGGCCACACTTTTGCTCTCAGCCCCCTCCACATCACAACACGTCATCTCCTTTTAGCTATATTGTGACACCAGAATCCCCTAAAAAAAATCCTTAAATTGGTCTTCCCTTTCATTTTTTCTTCTTGCATGTATAGAAAATACGGTCCCGATTAGCAATTGCAATTACACTATCTCCCGCCGCTAATCCGGCCGCACTGTGCCACCACTAACCCGCTGCATTACGATGCCTCCTACCACTAATCTCACCGCCGAGGCCGCCACAGCCGCTACCTCTCAGCCTCCTTATGTTAACCTCATTGTCGAAACCCTAGCCGATTTAGGGATATTTTGGGAGATTTGGGTTAAAATGCACTAGTTATGGCAAGTTATGTGCGAAGATATATGTGGAGGGGGCTGAGCACAAAAGTGTTGCCTACGTGGCATGCCACGTTGGCGGTCAAACATGGTCAAAGGGCGATTGGACCGGGGTGGTACATTAAACCAAGTTCACGGATCTAAACGTGTAATTTTCAAGTTCACGGACCTACATGACACCACCCCATAAGTTTAAAGACTGGCCATGTATTTCGCTCTTTTATTAAGTGGCAAGCTCTACCTGACTTAATAATTACTTTTCCTTTTTTTCCTAGGTTTGAAATTGAGGATTAAACACAGGACCTCGGGATTGCAAACCACACACCTATTAACACTGCAGTATCAAGTGCATCTCCAAATCGTCACTTGAGCTTCTTTGTATTAAAAAAAATCTGGCGTAAATGTGTAAGATAGACTTAAAAAAACAAAGTTTTTTTACGGAGTAAGAGCAAGTATAATAGTAGGCTATAAGCCGGCTAAATGCTGAGTTGGAGGAAAGAAGAGAGGAGAGAGAGGAGAAGCAGGCTGTAAATTTACAGCCGGCTTGGACACAAGAAGTCAAGAACCAAGAAACTCTGTGAGAGAGACCAGTGAGCACTGTATTAACTGTGAAGAGCTAGCTATTATATGAGTAGGCTGAGAGAAAGCTTAAAGAACCTTATAGCTAGCAGGTCAGCTGTATTATTAGCCTTGCTATAAGGATGGTGAATTTAGTTTTTAGGGCTAATTGGATTCATAGGATCTTATTACAGCCCTGAGACGTTACTAGCAGGGGTAGTTTGTTTTCAGTTCACCTCATCAGGCAGGCTGCAGCCTGTCCCCCCGTTCCGTTGCAGCTGCAGGCTGCAGCCTGCAGCACCCTGTCTCGTCAGCCAGAGGGCTCGACGAAACGGAAGGAGACCGGTGGCCACTCGCGAGACTGTCTCCGGGCGCCACTGCCTTTCGTGTGGCAGCGTGGCGCCCCGCCCTTTTGCCCTTTCCGCAGAGGTCGTCGTCTACTCGTCCGGGCCGGTCCTCGCGACGGCTGCACGTTGATCTTCTGCGAGCTCGGCCAGCCGGCCACACATTCGTGACGAAACCCTACGCTTCCACCGTTCAGCGGACGGAGAATTCATGTATCGTTCTGGTGCAAATCGAGTTTACACGGACGAGTCTGTGTGACGGTGACAGTGATGATCGTATCGACGCGTTGGCAAGGCAACAGGGTCTCGTATCCATCGCGAGGCCATGAAAGGATGAAATGCTATTGCGAGAGAGATGACAGGATGATGATCGTATCTCGCTTTCGGCGAACAGTTGCGAGTAGTAGTACGGAGCATATGAATGGATCCCTTGTCCCTATTCACATTTTCACACCACCTCCCTTCTCACCTTTAGAATGCCCATCATGGATCTCCATGGAAAGATCACAAAACCTTTTCTTGTTAGGAGTACATCTGTTTCTGCCTTTCTGGTATTGCTGTGCAC